TAGGCCTTGAAGCAGCTGCAAGACCACTTGGTCTAGAAGTCAACGAGAGAAAAACTAAGTATATGAGAGTTGGTGGTGAGGTGGATCTGAACTCTCCATTTGAGGTAGGTTCTTTTAAGTTTGAGAGAGTGAAAAGTTTTATATACCTTGGGTCTGAAATTAATAGCAAAAATGACATGGCTCAAGAAATACAAAGAAGGACCACGGCTGCCAATAGATGTGTCTTTGGACTTGGCCGACACTTAAGAAGTAGGTACCTCTCAAAGAAGACCAAGCTGATCATATACAAGACCCTTGTTCGGCCTGTTTTGACATATGGCTCTGAGGCTTGGACGATGACTAAAAACGATGAGATGAAGCTGAGTGTGTTTGAGCGAGGAGTCCTCAGAAGGATTTATGGTCCAGTAAAGGAGGGTGATGTCTGGAGGAAAAGAAAAAATAGGGAGCTCAGTTCTCTCTATACAGACATCGACGTAGTCACGTATATTAAACTGGCCAGACTAAGGTGGGCAGGGCATGTGGCCAGAATGAGCACCGTTGAAATACCAAAGAAAATAATGATGGAGGAGCTGCATCTCGTAAGACGGGTAGGAAGGCCGAGGACGAGATGGTTGGACAACGTGGCCTATGATGCGAGAACCCTGCTTGGTGTACGGAACTGGAGAGCTGCAGCAGAAGACAGAGCCAACTGGCGGAGGCTCTTGGAGGAGGCCCAGTCTCGGTAACGGGATGTCGTGCCACATATGATGATGATAATAAAGAAATCGAAACGCGGTGGTCTAATCCTAAAATGGAGGTTGTTTTCAAAATCTACGGCTCCGGAAACATAATAATACACCCTCATATGAAAACAATCCGAAAAACTCAAAAAATGTCGAAACGCGGTGGCCTAATCATAAAATGGAGGTCATTTTCAAAATCTACAGCTCCGGAAACATAAAAATACACCCTTGTATCGAATAAATCAAAAAAACTTAAATAAGTCGAAATGCAGTGGCGTAATCTTAAAATGGAGGTTATTTTAAAAACTAGGTACAGGACAGCATAATACTAGTCCCTAATAAATCCGAATTGGTACAATAAATCGATATCCGTAAGTGAAAATTCTACTTAGGAGAGCATAATAACAGAGATCCATATTGAAGGGGGGGAGGGGATGGCAATTATTTAAAAAAAACATAAAATTTACAAAAAATTAAAACATTAATTTGAAATGAAAACGGTTGAATTTGAATTGGAAAAGGTTTAATTTGAAATGGAAATGGTTGAATTTGACTTGGAAAAGGTTGAATTTGACTTGGAAATAATTGAATATGACATAGAAATATCACACTGAAAAAATCTAAAATGTTAAAATAAATGGATATGCAACCGAGTTATCAAAATTTTTTTTGTATTTTTCAGAAGCTATGCCTTCGATAATAAAGTAAGTGGCCTTCATTTCCAAAAAAATCGAAAATTGACAAAAATTCAAAGTTGAATTTGACTTGGAAAAGGTTGAATTTGACTTGGAAAAGGTTGAATTTGATTTGGAAAAGGTTGAAATTGACTTGGAAATGCTATATAACAATTTTCCTCTCAAAGATTAGGAGGTCTTGCTCAATTTTTTTAATCGTCGTCCATGTTTCTGAAGCATAGAGCAGGACTGGGCGGATTAGTGTTTTATAGAGATATAGCTTGTTATGCTGAGATAGAAGGTGAGAAGTGAATTCCTTGCGAAGGGCGAAATAACATTGGTTAGTCATAAATATTCTTTTCTTGACCTCGACCTCGGGTGCATTATCTTGTGTAACCAGTGACCCCAAATACTTAAACTGCACTACTTTCTCAAAGTTAAAGGGGCCCATATTTATGGTCTCGCCTGGTCGAGGAACTTCTCCTGTGGCCATATATTTAGTTTTGCCTTCATTCACTTCCAACCCAAGTGCTCTGGCGGCCTCCAACAAAACTAAAAATCCCTCTGTGACAGATTACAACAACCGCCCCACGATGTCCACATCATCCGCATAGGCTAATAGCTGAACCATCCGGTTGTAAATTGTCCCATTAGTTTGCAGACCAGAAACCCTGACTGCCCTCTCAACTGCCAAGTTAAACAGAAGGCATGCTAACGCATCACCTTGACGAAGTCCTTTTGTTGAGGAGAAATCTTCTGTCCTTTGACCATCAACCTGCACAATTCACTTTACATCCCTCATGGTCAGCTTCACCAGTCGTATTAGCTTATCTGGGATATTGAAACCTTCTAGTGCCTTGTACAGTTCTTCCCGGTTAATGCTATCGTAAGCTGCCTTAAAGTCAACGAAAAGATGGTGGGTTTTAGTCTGATGTTCATTTCCTCTCTCTAGGATTGTTCTGAGGCAGAATATTTGGTCTGTCGTAGATCTTCCCTGTCCAAATCCGCATTGGTAGGGACCAAGCCTCTGCTCTGCAAAGGGTAGAAGACGCTGGAATAGGATGTTAGATAAAATCTTATATCCACAAGAGAGAAGAGAGATACCCCTGTAATTTTTACACAGGAGTTGGTCACCTTTTTTAAAGATAGGGCATATAACTGACTTTTCCCATTCTTCCGGCAAAACCTCTTCCTCCCAAATGGTCAAGAATAAATTCTGGAACCTTTTAAACAGTTCCTCACCTCCGTTCTTGAAGAGTTCAGCAGGCAGGTCATCAGCTCCAGGTACCTTATTATTCTTTGGCATGTGTTAGTAAAATAAAATCGAAACTCTGTCATCATATGTATTGCTGTCCTTCCAATACAAATGAAAACCATTAAATTTGGGGTTAACATTTTTATTTCAAATTAGGATGCTTAATTGAGAGGTTTTGGTCACGATGGTGATCAGTTTCAGTTGTTCCTTTACCTCAAGGCAGTTGTTCACGAGGCTTTCCAGTACCTTCCTTATGCGACTAAGAACGGTGAGAAGCCAAAGCTGTTGGATCAGTTTTCTTTTGCCTTCTTTTAACACTGAGATAATTACTCTTTTTTTCCAGGTCTCAGGTACTTTTCCTATCTTCCAGCTGGTATTGAAGAACCTGAGGATATGTCTCTTGGTTTGGAGTCCCAGGTTGATAAGAAACTCATTCAGAATACTGAGACCACTCTTCAGTTTTAAGCAGCTGATGGCATTATTTAGTTCTTGCATGGTGATCTGTTATCAGGGAATTTTGTCACATATATTGTGAAGTGAAGTTTGGAATTGTATTTATGTTAAATATAAGGCACCTTGTAAGAAATATATTTTAAAATAATAATTTAAATTATAATTCATTTAAATAAAAAGTTAAATTTTAGCTATTTTTTTTTAAATCAAAACTACTTGAAACATTTAAAATATTTATTGAATACTTGATGGTTGACTGTGTTGTATTATTATATGAGTAATATTATATGAGTAAGAAGATGGTCCGGGGTGGCAGTCATAAAAAAAACTAAAATAGTAAAGCCATTTCGATCCGACTTTGCAGGTCTTCTTCGGAGGTTTTATGCAGTAGGAAGTTCGAGTTAAAACTAAAAAATTAGGGCTTCTGATATTTTAAAAATTATTATTATCTTTATTATGTAGGAGTTCCAATGAGGGTTGCCTATTCACATCAGGGCTGAGCTCCAGAGATCGTGGTCAAGCCAATCTCCATTCTGAAGACCCCGACCAGCCATCTCCTCTTCCACTTCATGTATCCGTCTATCTCTGGGTAGTCCTCGGCTTTGTCTTGAAGGCACCTTAGTTGTCGTCTTTGAACAGAGCTAGGATGACATGGTCCAGCTGTATAGGTTTGGATGTATTTTAAGATGGCATGGTATATCCTTCTCTATTTTTCTTTTAGAACTCCGTCATCCCACAAGACATGATGAAGCATTCATGTGGCTTTCTGAGCTTGCATCTCTCCGCACATCGATTACTGAGAATCCCAGATATTTGAACATATTCCCCTTTTGCACAGGTCTGAGAGTCGGCACGAAGATTACCTCAGTGCTAATGGCCATATATTTTGTCTTGGAGAAAGTCATGTTAAGCCATAAGAGGACTCATAAAAGACCCATAGTAGGCATATCTTTGTTTTCAAAATTACCATTTTGTATGACCCGATCATTGACGAAAATGAGAGACACCAACTGTTTATCTCCAATCCAAGGCACTACATCTCCACATCGATACCGTTGCTTGATATATTGGCTTAGATTATATCTTGAAAATGATTTGTGCTATAACTACAGCCCTGTTTCAGATCCTTAGTACCCGAGAAAGGCTCCGTCAGCCGACATTTAAGCTTTACCCAGTAAATGTTGTCTCAGTAGAGGTGTCTCACTGTATCTATTAGGACTTTGTTCTTATAATAATGTAATTATTATTTAATTTTTCTTTCCCTTCATGTTTGCATCCACACCTGTCATATTCTTGATAATAAGCAGATGTGATGTCATTGTAACAAAAATTGGCATTTCAAGCATGAGGAAGAATAGTACATAGTAGTACCTCTTCCTGGTCTTGATTTACTTCCTTAATTCAGGAAAAGAAATTTCATTATTATTTAATTAAATTATTATAATAATTCATTATATAAACTATTTATCATCAATAACAATAATGAATCATAAATATTTTCTGACTTTTTCTAGGCATTCCGTTTTTCATTCAGTCCCAGCCCAGTGGACATCCTATTTAAAAGGGTTCTCTTCTGACAGATATATATTCAATTGAACATATTTTTTTTTGAAATTTTAATTTATAATATTTATGTCCTCAAGTTATTTTTGATTTCATGATAAATTTTTTTAAAATTTTATCTTTATTTTTTAATTTCCACTCACACTTAAGTGTAGACCTTAAGGCCAGTTTAATAATAATCAAAGTTATTTTTTACTAATTTTGATTATTATTTAACTTACCTTAAGGCAAACATTTAAGTGCGAATAGAATTTTTTTTTTAAAATATTTTTTTAAGCTTAATATACTAAGCGAATTTAATTAAAAAAATACAAAAAATAGTTATGTTCTTACCTGAAAGAGATTGAATTCAGCCATAGATGTGGCTAGTTTTGTACAACTTTGTCTTCCACTTCCCCCTATACCCACAAGCAAAGCATGGCCATTATCTTGTAAAAGAACTCTAGAGATCCTTGAGATGTGTTCAATTGCAAATTTAAACATAACAAGTGACATAGGAACCCTTGACAATAAATTATAATCCTCCAGGTAGTGATTCATAATTCTTTCTAGTTGTTCTAAATCAAGGATCTATAAACACAAAAACCTGGCTTGAGATTTCAATTATAAAAAAAAACTTGTAACACTAACAACCTATGAAGGGTTATGGGCTTAATAAAATGTGAGGAAGTACTGTTACAAGGCCAACGGTTGTGCAGGGAGGTGACGGACCAATATCATGCTCAACCACCAGGTTTTCCCCCTTAATTAATTATTTAATTAAGAGTAGCCACTTTATAGAGGCTGGATTTAACCCAGGAGGGTCTCTCTCTTCCCTATCAATAATAAAATGTTTGTAAAATAGTAACCAAAGTTTGTTTTATTACCATTTTATATCTGATTACAAGTACAACATAATAATAAAAATTTCTGCCAAGTAAGGTCAGTATAGCTTCTTCACAGTTTTCATTGGGTAAAAAATTATTTATATTTCTAGATCTATAATTATGGTATCCAAGAGTTTTGTTCATCAGGAAATTAAAAAATACAGAAGAGTTCCACATTAGCAAATTGGGTATTTGACAATTCATGATTAAAAAAATCCCCGTACAAATTTAACACACATATATATGCAATAAGTATATATTTAATACAAATATTTTCATTCGTAAAACGGATAGAACAAAAAATTCAATTTTTTGTCTATTTGGTGTTAACGAGACCAATAGTCAAAACAAATCTAATTTAAGGTGGAATATAAAAATATGAGTGAAGTTTACACAATTTTGATGTTGAAGAAGAAAATCAGGACCATGACAACATGGTTGATTTTCAAAATAAACAAATAAGACTTTTTTTTATAACCTCAGAAAAAAATTAATTTATATTTACTGAAAATTACATGAAATCTAAATAATAGCAGTAAGTGTCATTCCACTAACATAGAATCAGCCAAAGAATACAGTTTAAATTAACTTTTTAAATAATCAGCATACAATTTTATAACATCATAAAAAAATTGTTTTAACCTAACCTCTTACTTCATATATTCAATTCAAATTCCATATTTCAAAGCATTTATACTATTGACAGTTATCTAAATTAATTTAAATTATAAATAGAATTTAAAATTTTTTTTATACTATTATTTGAATTTCTTCAAACTTTGAGTCAAATCAAACAAGCTGTTTGTTTTCAAACTATAGGCTTGTAAAAAATAATAGGTTTGCTAATCCAAAAGCAAGAAAGATGGAATTTGATAAAATTGTTACACACCGTGGAGCGTCGATAATCCGAACGTTCAATTAACAAAAGCATTTTTTTTTTTTCTTAAAAACTAAACTGATCGTCTAATTACTTATTTGTATTATTGAAATTATTTTAAATACAATCAAATGGAAAATAAAATGATTTTTTCCATGAATGTCTATAAGGGGAGCCCTAATTATTTCTCAGAAATTGCAAAATATGAAGACAACTATATAACTATAATTAGGCAACTATACCTATTTGTTTACTGAGAACTATATACCTAATTAGGTCACTTCGTTTGTTTTTCTGAATCTCTTCCCATTCATTTGATTGATAATAGATAGTTCACCTTTAGTTTTAAATTGTTCTCCCTGAGGTACTCATTGCATATGTGATCACTTTTGTTTTAAAATTACATTATGTCAACAAAAAGAAAACGAGTAGTTCTTTCATTAAAATACAATTATTATGAAATTATTACACAGCTAAAAAAGGGTGAATCAGGTCAGACATTAGCTATCGAGTTCGGTATTGGTAAATCAACGATGACAGTTATTATAAATAATTCTGATTTACTCACCCGGTACATACGTAATCTTTAGAGCGAGATGGACACTTCGAGTCGATAAACTATGGAAAAAGCAAAAAGTGAACTATTGGAAGATGCTGTTTTACATACACGTAAATATGTATGTACATATTTTTGTTCTTTGCATTATGTTGGGTTACTCTGGAAATACAAGGTATCACCACACCCAATGCTGGAGAATCTACCAAGAGCTTGGTGTGCTCTATTAGTGGAGCTCTATGTATAATAAAGGTGGTGTTGAAGACCTAGATATATGTCACGTTAATTCCCAATCCCTTCTAACACATTATAACGAATTTCTTAATTATTTTCACCATAACTTCCTTCCATCATACCATAGCCATTCCTGAAATTTAGCTCAAACCTGATATTTCCAATCCTATCCATTTCCTTGCAAAACTATACTCTCTTTCGTCATGATCAAATATTGAATAACATATATTCCTCTCTTTGAAAATATTATTATTACAGGTGATCTCAACACCAACCTCCTTTCAAATACTCCGGACAGAACATATCTTATCGACCAAGTTTTTTCCCTATATTGTACGCTGTCAACCCACACATCACACTCAATTCACTGATACTTGGGTATACTTATTTATTATTGATTCCCTCATAACTATTATATTCTAGGCAACTTCTAGTTCCCTTCCTTTCATCCCACGACCTTATTGAGATATCATATAACGTCTCTACTCCGTGTAGGAGTACTAAACCCAAACAAATTTCCTGGAGAGATCTTGATTCCTTAACCACTGAAAACATCAGCCCTTTTCTCGATTCTCTTTCCGCTGCTTTAGAACTCCTTTATTTTCTCCCCTCCATCAATGACATGGTTGACCGCCTTTTCTTCAACCTTCTTGATTTCCTCAATCAACACGCATATCTAAAAACACTTATCTTTAAACATCTTCTCGCTCCTTGGATCAATAGAGAAATAAGAGAAGAGAGACTGCTAGAAGATGCTACAGATGTATTCGACTACCTCAGCATTATTCCATATTTAAATCTCTACCAAACCTCACACAAATGTCCCTACATAGTGCCGAAGCCCAATACTTTAATAACGTTTTGTCCCAAGAATCCAACCCTAAATTCAAATGGAAAATCCTTAAGAACTTCTCTATTGTTAGCTCGAAAACTTGCACACAGTATCCAGTCGATCCGAACAAACTAAATTCCTTTTTCAGTAACCATTTTCCATCCACATTTCCACATGACTGCTCATCTTTTTCCATCACCTAAACTCCCTTCGATCCTGATAAGTTTTATTTTCTCGATATCTCTTCTAAGGACCTACTCTCTGCCATTCTTAAATCTAAAACAAATGATTATGGTCCTGACCAAATACCTGTTAAAGTTATCAAACTCAGCCTTCCAGCCTTATTTCCCGCACTTATACACATATATAGATAGAAAAAAAAATTTTATTCTGGGACTAAGTCCCTTCAGAATAATAATAATGTACAAAATAATAGAATATTACTGGCCTAAACGTTTGAAACAATAAATAAAATTGATAAAATAAAATAAAAAGTAAAGAAAACCTTAGGTGCACAAGCTATATACAATACAGATAAAACTATGTACAGAGCATTTAAAATTATGAACAAAAAAATTAAAACTATGAACGAATCACTTGAACTATGAATAAAATTATATATAAGGGTTGAACAACATAAACATATACTTTGAGAAATGAAGAACGAAAAAGAGATACAATGAGTTCATTTCATAAAAAAAAAAACTTTACTTGAATATATATATAAAAATAAACAGTTAATTATGATTGAATAAAAAAAAAAAAATGTATGTATTGCAATTCCTACGTCGATAGTAGGAAATGCATGTACTATCTCTTACCAAGTATTATGATTATATGATTGCTACACAATACATATATAATATTAAAAGTTAGGTGGTATCAGACTGTTTTTGGAACAGGAATTGGAATAGGAGATTTTTGAATGTGTATAGGGAAGGGGCATGTCGAATTTTGATCGGGAGGGAATTCCAAAAGTTGACAGAGTGGAGAAGGTTGTAGGCATAAGAAGGACGATGATCGGTAATGATTTGATAAAGGAAAGTGCCTAGGAAATATTGTCTTCTTAAGGAGGGGAAGAGCCACCCTAACTCAGTGTAGTGGTGGGAGAAAGGGGAGCGTCTCGGGGTCCCAATTACAAATCTTACGAAGCTATTCATAAGTCTTTTGAGTCTATCACGGAGTTCTACCCAGAGGCCATCGTACACCACACAGCTATAGTCAAAGTGGGGAAAGATGAGAGAGGAAACTAGGAGTCTACGGGTATTTTGGGGTAGAAGATGGCGGAAGTGATGGAATAGTTTGAGGGTAGAAATTGCATGGCGGGATATATGAGAGATATGGTGATTACAGGAAAGGGTTTGATCTATGAGAAAGCCTAAATTTTTAACAAAGGGATAGAAGGTGATGGGGTGGTTGTTTAGATAGAGTGAGGGAAAGTTGGTGTGGGATCTAAGAAGGGGCTTGGAACCAATGAGAATGGCCTGAGTTTTGGCAGCATTTAGCCTTAATCCATTTAAGTTGGCCCAGGCACTAATTCAATCTAAATCTTCTTGAATTTTGGCAAATGCCACCAATAATTCAGCGGGTGAAAAGGATAAATATATTTGAGAATCGTCGGCATAAAGGTGGTGGGAACAATGGATAATTGAATCATTTAGGTCATTGATATAAGAGCTGAAAAGAAGAGGAGACATGCTTGAACCCTGTGCAACTCCAGAGGATAAAGGAAGGTAGGCAGATAGAGCTTGATTAGATATGGAAACTGCTTGGGTTCGTTGTGAGAGGAAAGACTGGAACCAAGAGATGGAACTATTGGAGAAAGATAATGATTTTAATTTGTTGAAAAGGATGGAATGGATAATGGAATCGAAAGCTTTGGCGAAATCAAGAAGTATAAGTATGGTTAGTTTTTTGTCATCTATTGCAGTCTGAATATCACTGGTAATTTTAATCAGATCACAATCTTTAGGCTATTGTGGACAAACATGGCTACTTCACCGCCAGTCCGGTTTACCCGGTCATGACGGAGCAGGATGTAATTAGGCAAGGATACTGAAGATGATGGAATATAGGGTTTGAGCCAGGTTTTGGATATTGCTATGATATGATAAAAGTTTTGGGTAAAGTATTGCAGGAATTCGTCATAATGGGCAGAAAGGGATTGAGAGTTAACCTGACATGTGATTAGGGAACTAGACATACAGTGGATTTGGAGAGAAACAGTCAGTGTTTGATAACGAGAAGACAAAACGAATAGAAAGTACAGAAAAGCGATTATAGTACATGAAACTAAGTGAAGAAAAAGTGTATACATTAAAAATAAATAAAGAGAATGTACTTAAAAATAAATAGATTGGTGAATATTTTATATAATAGAAGTAAGAATATTTTAATGAGGCTAAGGGGTTGACGGCTTCTAGGTAGTCAGTCAAATACATCTAGATCCGAGGCCTGTTCTATCAGGATGACTCTATGTCCGTCCTCTTTTCGACACTGCACCTTTCCGGAAGCAAACCACGTATATTTGATTTTTCCCACCGCTCTCTTCTGCCGGACTAGCCAATAGAGGTGTCTGTTTGTGCGAGTCATCTCTTCACCCAGATAAATTCAGTAGCAGTCATTTTCCTGCCAACCGATATCCCGTGTGGAGAAAACCCTCTTCATTTTCCTTTTCATAATTAAATCATCTCTAATTGATTGCCTGACAAAGCGTGCGATAACAGGCGATGGTCGCGAGTCATCTTTTCGGCTTCTGCGGCGATGTATGTTGTCCAGGTCCTCCACATTAAGCCTGATCCCCAAACTTGCTCCTATACTGGTCACCAAAGCAGCGGGCGTTTCCCCCGGTCGCTCTGGTATACCGCGGATCTCTAGTGATCTACTTAATAGTCTCTGTTCTGTGTTATTCAAGCGAACCTCTAATTCGCCCACTCGGGATTTGAGTGCTTTATTTTTCTAATATTATCTCCTCTAACTTTTTATCTTGACCTTCCAGATGTTTTTTAATCTTCGTCAGTCTTTCGTTTAGTTCAAAACTGAGCTCTCCGTATTTATCTAGTGCTGTTTTCATATTTTTTAAATCCTCGTTCACGGTAGCGTCTAAACGATTTACTGCCGCAAGTATTTCTGAGGGAGACGGCTCGGTATTTTGTTTTTTGACCTGTTCGCAGTTAGAGCAAACCCATGTTTTTTTAATTATTAGCAGGCTTGATATTCTTAGTCTTCAATGTCCTGCTTCTCTCACCTCAGGTAACGTCCTCATGCCTCGGTGTATCAGTCTCAAATGCCTGGCGTCGTCTTCCAGCTGCTGCTACCTGACCGGACCTTTTTCCTTCTTTATCGATATGAGATTTTCCAATGAGCAATTTGTCCACTGCACAATTGAGTACAATTCACAGTGCAACCTCACATTCCTATATATTATATATTCCTTCTCATCACCCAATGTCACATAAAGGAGTAAATACAGGGGGCTATCTACTACAGAACGACCAACTTTTTATTCAATTGAAGGTAACTTCTTAAAAGAGACTGATACACAGTGAGTATACTGATTACAGGCTAAAGAGTAAATAATTATATATTATAGGCAGACTTTAACCCAGGCCCGGGAGAGAAGAATGCCTTCCTCACTGAACATGAGAAAATTAGAAAAGCATCAGGAACTATCGAAACCTTCAATCATCAATAATAGAGTGGAGGAAATTTTGTATTAATTTATAATTAGAAGGAAAAGCCCTGCCCTCCTTATGTCGGGGACCCCGAGCTCAGGGGACTAGGCTGGACCACAGGTGGTACGGCCATCCTCAAAAATACTCCAGAGAGCCCTAAGACAGCGACTGTGTGCCGCCTCTAAATATGCACAACCACTCCCCCATCACAGCGGGGACACCTAGGAGAGGGACAACTCCGAATAAAAACCCGGACAGATAAGGGACGTTAGCTGTGGCAGGCAACTTATCTAAGGGAAGGAGACCTCGACAGAAAACCTCTGGTCCTCCAGGTTGGGGGTTGTCATTTGGGTCAGCTCCTTATCCTGTTCTTCGCAGACGATTAATTAGCAGAAGAAAGCTTTCCTGGAGATGGTGGTTGTACAATTAAAGAAAGCTTAAGAAGAGGAAGGTCTCAGGATAAACTTCCAAAAGACTGAGTATATGGCACTGGGAGATGAGGAAGACGACCTACGCATAGGTGAACAGGTATGAAGAAGAGTAAAGGCATTTAAATACCTAGGGTCCTATCTGGATGATGTTGGAACGCCCGAAGTGGATGTCTCAAACAAGGTCGAGATGGCAAGAAAAGACTCAAGAATGCTGCATCCTGTTCTCTGGAACGACACTATTTCAAACGCGAACAAGTGGCGTATCTTCACGGCTATTGTCGAGTACATATTAACCTACGGATGTGAGGCATGCTCGATAAATGCTGGCTTGTATGCCAAAATTCGGACTGTAGAAATGGATTTTTGGAGGTGTCTACAGTTAACGAGGCTGGACAGAGTCCGAAATGAAGTGGTGAGACAGAGAATAGGTGCAGAGGAGACCGTCTCTGAGAGGATTGGGAAACGGCGATTGAGATGGTATGGGCACTGCAGGAGAATGTCGGAAGAGCATTGGCCGAACAGAGTCCTGGACTGGCAGCCACCCGGAAAGCGTAGGCGAGGATGACCGAGAACCACGTGGATGGAAGGAGTCCGAGAAGAGATGGCTGGCTGAGGTCTACAGGAGGGTAACTGGGAGGATAGAGATGTGATGAGCTCTACTCTGACCTGAAGAGGTATCCCACGTTGGAACAACGGAAATAAGTAAGTAAGTAAGAAGGAACAACTATACCATTTAACTATAACATTTAAAGTAAATATTTATCCACTCTTTTATTATTATTTTTTACATTAATACAATGGTATGACAACAAAAGTAATTTTCATTCATTCCAAATTTCGGTTAAAATTCCATAGTTTATTGTTTTTAGTAACTATCTTGCAGTATTAGGAACTTATTGCTCATATTATGTCTTTAATATATCAGTGTAGTTATGTAAATCCTTCTGTTATTACTTATTTTTTAGTTTTTTTGTGTTTTTTTTATTGTAATATGCATTTTGGCCAGATATTATGTTAATTTTTATGTACAATATTGTTAATCTCAAGAGACTTGGTCCCAGAATAAAGTTAATTCTATTCTATTCTATACCACAAAAGATATTGAATTAACAAAGAAAGTAAGTAATAGTATGAACTGTTAATCCTGACACACCTTGTACATTGACAGCCACATTGCAAAAGCTTTTAAATGTAAAATTAAAAATATTGAAAAGACAAAGAAAAAACTGCAAGATTTTTTACTTTATAAAATTCAAATATTATATTTTTAATTGCATATTAAAGAAAAAGATGTAATGTTTTTTGTAACTTTTTACTTTCACTTACCTATATATGAAATATATAATAAGAGACAGTATTGCGAGCGTGAAAATTTTTGAATCTGAGTTTTCAACAGAAATACATGTTTTAGTCCAAATAACCAAGTCCCGCAGTTTGTATGTATGTATGTCACCAGTCTAGCTAAAAAACAAAAAGTTGTATGAAATTGAAATTGCATGGTTTATATATACCTGAGATGTTACAGAAACTTTTTCCTCAAAATCAGCAAACCGGAAGTGGCACTTTATAAAAACGATATTATACATTTTTACAATTTTTTTCAAAAACGGCTTTAATATGATTTTGATCAAACTCGGTATATCAGTGTATTATTAAGTGGTCTTTAATATCAGCTAGGTCTTATCCACATTGTTGTCACTTTACTTGGCTTAAATACCCAATATTCATATACATCTTTTTATCTAAAGTACCTTTAATTTGGTTTATTTAAAAAAATTAACTCTCTGTTATTGACACTAACTATAAAAAATGGCTTAATATAAAGTATGAAAGAATTTGATAATTGGAAACTGGAGAAAAAAGGGAAACTGTTTATTTAGGTCGAAAACAAATCTCCGGAAATATAATCAAAAGGTATAAATATAATATATCGTTGGAGAGCAGAGAATGTTAGAAAAATCAATATCTAATATAGAAAGTCGTAAAAGGAAATGAAGAGTGATGAAAAAGTATAAATAATAGTTTGTGAAAACTAATATTATTTAATGGAAATCACATGTTTTCAAGGAAATTTACCTACTAAATGTAAAATTAAATTTTTTTTTCATGTTTGAAAAACTATTTTTTGTACTTATGTGAAAGAAGAAGTGAAATATAAAAATATTTCTCAGATATGTAAAACATATGCTTATAAACTTAAATATATTTACTGTAGTTTAATAACTTAAGATCTGATATAATATTTAAATGATTAGGTATGCATCGTCGATTTATTTTTTTTTAAATTTCCCTTTGTGAAATCACAACATTATACACTTACAATTAGTGTGACGACTTATGACCTATCGATGCTATATTTAAAAGCAAGTAACTGTATTTTGGTATGTTTTTCAAAAATAAAAAATAAGAATTTAAATGTATATAAAAAGTGATAGAGACTTACTCAAATTAAATATATATACTTTCAAATCTACTTTAGTCTATAGAACTCAGAGACTGGAGTTATGTAATTGAAATAGACTGATGCAGTTACATCTAAGGTTTTGATAGGCTACAATCCTATATTAAATAAGCATTTATATTATTGTATTGATGAATATGATTAAAATCCAAAAGTATGTTGTTTAAAGTTTAGCTGCATTAAAGGTATGCTTCAAAAACTTCTTTTACTAGCCCAATTTTTCCAGACAAGAATTGCTTTTCCAAGAAGAACGGTAAGTGAAAGTAGTGTGATACTCCCACCAGATTTTTTTGGTTCGTATTACTGAATATGATTAAGGCCAAGATAGAACAAAACTTCCCATAAAACTATACTAACAGACTTTTACAACATGGCTGTAAATATATTGGAAACTATATTTCTGTGAATTTTTATCCTAATCATTGTGAAGTACATTATGTTTTTTTACCTCATCATAGATTTTGTTCTCTGTATCAGGCTCATAGTAGTTACCAAAGAAAAGACTTCTTAAATGTTCTACTTGAAGTTTATTTTGGCCATCAGGTATTAAGTCAGACATGAATTGATCCATATGGGCTCGGATGTGAAAATAACAAGCATGTTTGACAACTTCAAATAATAATTCTCTAAAAACATAAAAAATAAATAATAAAATAACTTAAGCTAGGAGGAAATAAAACTTAGAAATAAATAGAAATAGAAAATAACTTTATTCTGGGACAAAGTTCCTTTAGAATAACAAAATAGAACATAATTAAAATACTACATCTGGCCAAAATAAAACAATAATAAAAAAGAGAAAGTAAAGAAAATATTAGTTAAACAAGCTATATACAAAAACAAAAACAAAAACTCTATATGCAAAACATTTAAAACTATGTACAGTAGGAAAAATTATAATTATACTCTTTTGAAAAATAAAATAATAAAAAATACATTGAGTTCTTCTTTAAAATGAGGTGTGTTTCTGCTAACAAAGAAAAGATAAAGCTGACAATATAAAATGTCAGTGTATTTAAATCATGAATAATATGCAGACTCATCATGGTCTAATTCTAGCTATAGGTACAGATTTAATTATAAACGAATAAAAAATAATAAAAAAAACAAACAAACAAAAGATGCGGTCAGTGGCATTAAGAGCAGGAAGATATTGTAATATCCCTAGTGAAGTTCACAGTATAGAATTGTACTATTGTTTGATGATGACTAGAAATGAATAATATGAAAAGTTTAGCAAGTATCTGACTGTTTTTGGGATAGGAATTGGAATAGGAGTGATTTGAATGTGGATATGGAGGGGGAATGCTGAATTTTGATAGGTAGAGAATTCCAGAAATTGACAGCGCAAGCTATAAAGGAATTTTGAAATGAGGCAGATCTGTGAGAAGGGATGTAGAGGTCAGAAGGTCAAGATCTTGTTGAAAGGGAATGGACTAAGGACTTGAATTGGAGAAGGTTGTAGGCGTAAGAAGGTCGATGGTTGTTGATGATTTGATAGAGGAACTTACCTAGGAAATATTGTCTTCTAAAGGAGGGGGAAGAGCCACCTTAACTCAGTATAGTGGTGAGAGACATGGGAGTACCTCGGGGCACCAATAACAAATCTTATGCAGCTATTCACTAATCTTTTCAGTCTATCACGGAGCTCCAACGAGAGGCCATCATACACCACACAGCTGTAGTCAAAGTGGGGGAAGATGAGAGAGGAAATTAGGAGTCTACGGGTATGTTGAGGTAGGAGATGGCGGAAGCGATGAAATAGTTTAAGGGTAGAAATTGTTCTACGGGAAATGTGAGAAATATGGTAGTTCCAGGAGAGGGTTTGATCTATGAAAAATCCTAAATGTTTAACAGAGGAGTAAAAGGAAATTGGCTGGTCATTAAGGTGTAATATGGAAAATTCGGTATGGGATCTAATAAGGGGCTTGGAACCAACGACAATGGCCTGAGTTTTGGCAGCATTTGACTTTAACCCATTTACATTTGCCCAGGCACTGATTCGATCAAGGTCTTCTTGATTCTTGGCAAATGCTACCAATAACTCAGAGGGAGAAAAGAATAGGTAGATCTGGGAATTGTCTGCATAAAGGTGGTGGGAACAATGAATAATTGAATTATGAAGGTCGTTAATGTAGGAGCTGAAAAGGAGAGGAGATATGCTTGAACCCTGGGCAACTCCAGAGGATAAAGGAAGGTAGGCAGATAGTAGTTGATTGGGTATGGAGACTGCTTGGGTGCGTCGGGAGAGGAAAGATTGGAACCAAGAGATGGAACTATTGGAGAAAGATAATGATTTAAGTTTGTTGAAGAGAATGGAATGGTTGATGGAATTGAAGGCTTTGGAGAAGTCGAGAAGTATAAGGACAGTTAATTTTCTATCATCTATTGCAGATTGAATGTCGTTGGTAATTTTAATTAAGGCAGATTGTGTGGAATAGCCTTTTCGAGGAACTTGGAGACTTGGGATTGCACCAGCCTTTCAAGAGGCTTTGAGAGGTTAGGAAGAATTGAAATTGGACGAAAATCTTCGGGCGAGGATGGATTAGGCTTTTTATTTAAAGGAAGAACAATGGCTTTTTTTCCAAGAGGTAGGGAATACTGAATTCTGAAGGGAAAAATTGTAGATAAAAAGGAGAGCTGGGAGGATTTCAGGGAGACATATTTTTATTAATTTGACAGGGATGCCGTCTGGTCCTATGGAATTGGTGTGGGATTTCATAAACGCGGTTAATAGGTCTGTGGGAGAAATGTCGGAAAAATAAAAGTTATTGTCGTTAAAGGATATCTCTGCAGAACAGTCGGAAGAGGAAGGTAGAGAAGAGGTATTAGCGACAGATATAAAATAAGAGTTTAAATCATCGGAGGATACAGGAAAGGCTGCGGTAGGGGATCTGGAAGGATTAAAAATGGAAAGTTTACGAAGCAGTAGCCATTTCGATTTGATATCAGGAGCTGAGGAAAGGGTTTCATGGAAGTAGGTAGCTTTCGCACCTAAATGCTTGGTAGTCATTTGCAAGCCTAGTACATCTAAAACGTCTTCGGGCAGCATCACACCTCTTCTGCAGATCTTTGATTTCTTGACACATCCAAGGAGCACAGTGACGAAACGTAGAGGTTTTGAGGGGAGCATGGGTATTGAGAAGATTGGCAGTAAGAATGTCAACCATGGAGTCGATAGAAGAGCAAGAATATATTCCATTCCAATCTAGGGTTTCTAGGTCAAGTAATATTTTTTCTCGAGTAAGGGTATCTAGGTGACGGAAGGTGATAGTTCGAGGCTGGATTGAAGGAGTTCGGATATTATATGTTATTTGTATAAGATCGTGAGATGATAGGAATGATACTGGCAGTTGAGAAGAGGAGAGATTTTGTACAGAGTCTATAATGTAGAAGTCTAGCCAAGTGTCGGACCTGCTGGTGTGGTGGGTGGGAGAAAATGGAACGATGAAGAGGTGCAGAGAGAAAATCAGGTTTTCTAGATAGGATTTGTTATTGGAGTTAGACAAGAAATTGGTATTGAGGTCCCCAGAGATGATTATTCTGGGATATAGAGGAATGAAGTTGAATAGGGTTGATTCAAAGGACTGATCAAATGGAACATGGGGAGGACGATATACAACAGTGTAAAGGAGAGGAAGATCCTTACAATGGATTTCTACTAAAAGGTATTCAACTTGAGAATGATCGGAGGGTGGTGACGAATCGAGGATTCGAGTCTTCAGGCTATTATGGACAAACATGGCTACTCCTCCGCCATTCCGGCTTACCTGGTCATGACGGAGGAGGGTGTGATTAGGCAAGGAAACAGAAGAGGATGGGATGTAAGGTTTAAGCGAAGTTTCAGAGATTGCGATAATATGATAAAAGTTTTGAGTGAAATATTGCAGGAACTCGTCATAGTGGGCAGGGAGGGATTGAGAGTTAACATTACAGGTGATTAGGGTACTAGACATGAGAGGAATTGGGAGGGAAACAGTCAGAGTTTGGTAGAGAAACTCTAAAACAAATAGGAAATACAAAAAGGCATTTACAATTAATGAAAATAGCAGAAAAGAAAGTTTAAGCAGAAACCAAAAATAAAAAACATGTGGTCAATAAAATATAAATTAGTGTGTAAATGTGAAGAGATATCTCTGCGTAGATGTGAAAATGTTCATTTGTAGATAATTGAGTTCAAATTTATTTTAATGAGGATGAGGAGTAGAGGAATTCTTTGTGGTCAGGCAAATATATCGAGGTCCGAGGCCTGTTCAATCACAATAACTTTATGCCCGTCCTCCTTCCGACATCGCACCTGTTCGGCGGCAAACCACGTATATTTGATTTTCCCCACAGCTCTCTTCTGTCGGGCAAGTGTCTGTTCGTGGGTGTCATTTCCTCACTCAGATATATCCGGTGGCAATCATTCTCCTGCCAGCCAATATTCCGAGTAGTGAGGTCCCTCTTGACTTTCCTCTTCGTTATTAAGTCGTCTCTGACTGACTGTTTGACAAAGCGCGCAATGACAGGCGGCGGTCGTGGGTCATCTTTTCTAATTCTACGGCCATGTACTATGTCCAAGTCATCTCTACTGAGCCTGATGCCCAAACTTGCTCCAATGCTGGTCACCAAAGCGGCGGGCGTTTCACCAGTTCGCTGCGGTATCCCTCGGATCTCCAGTGATCTGGATAACAAGCCCTGCTCTGCATTATTCAGGCAAACTTCCAATTCGCCCACTCGAGATTTGAGGGCTTTATTTTCCAGAATAATTTTTTCGAAATGACTGGCTTGACTTTCGAGGTGTTTCTCAATTTTCGATAATTTTTCATTAAGCTCAAAACTGAGCTCTCCATATTTATCAAGGGTTGTTTTTATGTTTTATTTGACAAAAAAATATCTTTCTTTGCACTTATTTAAAAAAATTAATGTGATTAAGAAGCAACATCCGCTTCTAAAAAAAAAAAAGATATGCCTTTCTCACATTCAAATACTACAAAATTATATAGATAGATAAAAAGCTTTATTTCAAATAAATTTTACATTTTATTTCTTAAAGATAAATCTATCCAAGCAATCTTTATCTGTGATTTTTAGCCTGTCTAGTTCCTCTTTTATTTATTTTACTGCAGCTTACTAGCTGCAAACTTTGTCAAAAATTTTCTTGTTCAGTCTTTCATTATTCATCCTGACCATGAACTCTTAGAACCTCAGTCTTCTGGTCCTGGCGACTGTTTCCAAATTTCTGTAAATTTCTTAATTGGATTTTAGCCTGTATCCCTCTTGAGTTACCTTGGGTCTGTGAATCCTCCTTTTCAATCTTCAGGATTTTCTCTAGGCTCGGAAGGCTGACTGTTTCCATACCATGTAATATTACAGGTCTTGCTACTGTACAGTAATGCCTCAATTTTGCATTTGAAGACAAATTTTTATTGTTGTAAACATTCCAGGTGGCGAAGTTCAGTCTTTTCAGTTTGGTTATTCTTCCTTCCATTGATGCCTTATCCGTTCCGTTACTACATATTATCTCTCCTAGGTATTTAAACTTTTTGGTCACTTTTATTTTGCCATATTTTCTTGGTGAAGTTGGTATCTGTTGTCATAATTTCTGTTTTTTCATAAGAGATATGTGGTCCTGTTTTCTCGGATATTTATTTCAGGATGTTTACCTGTTTTATGGCTCCCTCTTCTTTCTTTGCTAGTAAGGCTAGATCATCTTCAAAGGCCAGGCACTTTACTTTCACATTGTCCTTCTTTGTTCCTATTACTGCACCTACCTCGTAATGTTGTCATAATTTTGTCCAACACTATATTAAAAAGTATCGGTGACAAGACATCGCCTTGCCTAAGCCCCGTGTTTATTTTTAATGGTTCACTTATTAGTCCCTGGAATTTAATTTTTGAAATGGTATTGGTCAGTGTCAATTTTATCAAGCTTATTGTTTTTTGGTGTACTCCGTATTCCCTTATAACTTGGAGCAATATCTATCGAATCATAGGCCTTTTTGATGTCTATGAAGGAGATGAAGAGATTTTTCTGAGGTCTAGCCCTGTAATATTTTAGGATCAGTTTTAGGCTAAGTATTTACTCCTGGCAGGATCTTCCCCTCCTAAAGCCTCCCTGGTATTCCTCCATCTTCCGATCTATTTGTGGCTCTAATCTATTAAGTAGGATTCTGGAGAATATTTTATATGTTACTGGTACTAGCGAGATTCCCCTGTAGTTGTTTACGTCCGCTTTCTCCCCTTTTTGTGTAGTGGATGTATTAAGGCGGTCCGCCATTCCTTTGGAATTCTTCTTCTTCCCATACTTCCATGAATAGCTCCGTTACTTTCTTTATAAATTCTTCACTCACCATTTTCCACATCTCCGCGAGGACGGCATCTTCACCCGAGGCCTTGTTGCTTTTGAGAGCCTTCACTACTTCCTCTACTTCTTCTTCATCCAGGAGATCTGAGTCAATATTTTGTGGTGTATTTTTTTTATTTCCAGTTTTTCTTTTGTTTTCACACCGTTAAGAAGTTTTTCAAAGTACTTAGCAAGTATTTCGCAGTTCTCTTCATTGTTTAGTGCCAGCGTCCCATTATCTCTCTTCAAATTCAAGTTTGGTGGCGCATAACCTCTAATGTTATTTTTGAAGGACCTGTAGAAGAGTCTGGTGTTGCCTCCCCTGAAGTTCTCATCAGCACTATTCTTCCACTTGGTTCCTATGGAATTCCCTCTGTGTTTTCTCATTATTTGAAGTACTCACTTTCTCTCTTTCCTAAAGCATTCCAGATTCTCTGCTGTTTTCTTCTGGTTCCATACCTTCCATGCTTCCAGCCGTTCCCTTACAGCATCTTCACATTCCTTATTCCACCATATATTTTTTTTGTTATAGTTCTGGGTGGTTAGTTTCTTTGCAAGTCGTGTCAAATTTATAATGTCAAATATTTTCCCTGATCTCTACCCATAACTTGTCAATATCCTCGTCAGAAGGTTCTAAAGCTTCAAACCTATTCTTGACAGCTAGCTCGAATTGAGTTCTAATAGATGATTTTTTTAATATTTCCAAATTAAAATTCTCGAAATCAAAACGGTTTTCTTTTCTTTTTTTTATATTAAGTTTTGCGATTACTAATTCATGATCCGACCCACATTCTGCTCCGTCATATGATGTTAATTAAACTGCTTTGCCAGCAATGTTGTATCAAGACATGATCGATTTGATTTTGTGTTCGCGAATCTGGTGATGTCCAAGGTATATTTATGAATATCCATGTTTAAACGTAGTACTTTTAATTACCAGGTTTTTCAAGATGGCAAAGTTTATCTGACAGATCCCATAATCATTACTATATTCAAGCAAACTTTCTTTACCAATCGTCAGAAAATAAACTTCTTCCCTCCCTACCTTTGCGTTTGTGTCACCTACAATTATTTTCATGGAGTTTTGCAGTAGTTTTTCATAAACCCATTCGAGTTTATTGTAAAATTCGCATTTGAATTCATCGTCAGTCTTTGTTCGGACAATGTATGTTTATGAAAGCGATTTTTAACCAACGTTCCTGAAATATCGTTACCAATATTCTATCACTAAAGAATTGTACGTCCTTCAAAGCGGATAGAAATCTATTCCTAATTAGAAACCCGGTACCTAAACAATGATTACCGCTTTCTCCGTACCAAATAGTGTACTTTCCTTCCCTCATCGAGCCCTCCCCCCCTGGTCAGCGAACCTCTTGCAGAGCCACAACATCCAAAACGTACCCATTAACCTCATTCACCACCGATTTTAACCCCTCTGCTGTGTTTAAACTCCTTACATTCCACGTACCAATATTCAAATCCCTATTTTTTAACTTGTGCCATGAATCCCCTAAAGCAGTCCCCACCCGGAGACCTGAACGGACTAGTTTACCTCCGGATAATGAGCGTTTTACCTTAGGGAGATCTATGACTATTTGTGGTGTATGGTGAACTAAAGATAATCATAAATATTTATTTATATAAATAATATAAATATTTCCTTCAGTCACCTCTGTTCTACAAGGCTAGACCAAGTTTGACTGTCTTTCAAAATTAATAACTTTAAAAGATTATTAAGAATTGTATCCTGGCTAAACACTTAAAAGTTAAAAAAATTAGAACTTTGTTTTTTATACAGTACATTGGTAAAGTATAATGGAAAAACTGTGATAATTTAAATACTGAAAGAGCTCCTACTGCAAAAGATGATGAGAAACTTTAGTTTCAATAAACTTTAGTGTAATAAGAACCTAAATAATATCTACCTGTCACTTTGATCAATGAGACGATCATAGAACACTCGAAAAGTTTCATGCACCCATAATCTCATCATCTTTTCAGGAGATGTCATTCGAACAGCAGGCACAAGCAGCAATCCTCTAATAACTCGAGAAAAATCTCTCAAATTAAAAGTGTAATGAGATTTAGTTGGAGTAGGTAGAAATTTTGCCATGGCTTCATTGTAAACTTCCATAGTTCCAAATACCAGTTGCTGTGAAATAATTTATTACAAAACAAATATCTTAATAAATGAAAGATCACAATAAAAATCTTAACTTTTTGTAGATTTATTATTTAGTTTTATTTGCTCTAGAATCAAATGTGAGCTATAATTTTGCTAAAATCTTGGTGAAACAATTATTAAGAACATCAATTTTTTTTTTTTCTTTTCAATGTGGGGATGCACTGTGGCCTCATGGAGGTTTATTGTGCGTCGTCCTAAACTCTATTAAAATAGGCCAGATGCCTTTGCGAACTTGTTAATGCTAATAGGATCTATTAGTTCGCAATGTTGAGGGTCAGTGATACGAACACATCCAAAGTGAAAATATCACAGTCTAACCAAATTATCGCATTTACAAATAATGTGATAGGCTGTTTCAAACCCATTGAGCCAAAGCCACACAGACTGCAGGTAGGAGTCTTACTTAAGCCCAAATTAATCAGGTGGTTATTGAGTCAACAGTGACCGATGTACAGTTCTGTCAAACACCTAATGGTGCTCCTGTCCATTAGAAAAAGTTATTTACTTCTCTTATGATAGGATCCTACTAGGAACAACTTAGAATGAGTTTGTTTCCTAGTCTGTTCCCAACATAGCCTAAATTTATTACCAATTGCCTTAATATGCCTTTTGGCGCAGCTAAAATCCCAGAGATGGGTTCTGGTGCAAACGGCACTTGTGCAGAGCCCTTCCTAGCAGGGCAATTGGCTTTTTTAGAACCTGGAACACCTTGGCGTAGGGAGTTGGCGGGCCCATCGCCTATCCAGTTAGGATGCAATTAGCCTCTTGTAAGGGATGTCTTGCATGCAGAAGCCTGGGTATCAGTGCTCCCAAGGGATACCGCAGCTCAGTACACCATGTAGTAGATACCCCCTGTATTTACTCCTTTATGTAATATTGTGTGAGGGAATTAGAAGGAATATATAGGAATGTGAGGTTGCACTGTGAATTGTACTCAATTATGCAGCGGACAAATTATTCATGGAAAAGTCTCATATCGATAAACAATCAATGAAGAAGGACGCTGGAAAAAGGAGAGCAGGTAGCTAGCAACAGCTGGAGAGGCAATTGAGGCTGAGACATTGAGGCGGAACAATATACCTGGGAAGAGAGTCTACTACAAGATTTAGAAGATCAAGTCTATAGTTATAACACTTTAATAGAGTCGATTTATTACAGTTGTAGAAATAAATTATTTTGTTATACAGGAGTGAAAAGTTATTTATTTTATTTAATTGTCCTATATGCCTCACGATTGAAGAATAACAAAACAGGTGAGTCAATTCATTCAAAGTGTATTTACTAAGTCCCACATTTCAAATATATATTCTTATTGTTTCTTCTCAATCAATGTCACAAAAGTATTAGGTTCCCGAATTCCCAACAGCCAATTACCCAAAAAGTATGATACGAATAAACTGAAAAATCTACATGTGAGTCAAGTGTATGATGAGCGAATAAATCAAAAATTAGTAACTCTAGATGTTTCAGATGATAATTATATTGATCGTATATGGGATGTGTTCAAAGTTTTTCTGGATTCGTTAACTGAAGAAGTTCTAGGTAAGCAAGAAAGGTCAGCGAGATCTCCCTGGTTCGATGAAGAGTGTCATTTGGGGACTGCAGCGAATAATGAGGCCTATAGACAAATGCTTAAAAAAAGAAATACTTGAGCTGCAACTCAGAAATATCGTGAAAAAAGATTACAAAAGAGAAAAAAATGGGATTATGAAAGCAAGGAGCCTTACCACTAATCTTTTCAATATGACTTAGCCAATTCAACTAATATTGACATTCCTTATGTTCCAGAAGATACATGGATTTATCATCTGCGAATTTATGTCAAGCCCATTGTCCTAGCACTATTCTTTTAGAAGTCTCATCGTATTTACGAACAATTCAGAGATTGTATCTGGAAATTTGCTACCTATCAATAAAGTGATATCATCAGCATACTTCAGAGAATAGAACACCATCTTATTCAATTTAACAATCAGGGAGTCGACGACAAAATACTACAATAGTGGAGACAACACAGCCCTCTGTAGAAACCCTCCAACAGATTTAACCCACCATTGTCCCAGTTGATTATCCCAACTCAGGTTTAAGGACTCTTCCTCTTAGAACCAAATTAATCCATTCCAAAGCCAAAAGTCCAACCCCTCTCCTAGCCAATGGTATAACCACTGTATCATAGGGGGTAAGATCAAAGGAACCTTCAATATCGACAAAGATACCTGCCATGATCTCTTTCAGCGATAAGCGTTTCTTGATTCTAGAGACCAAGTGATGCAATGATTTCTCACAGGATTCGCCACCTTGATAGTCAAATTGAACACAGTGTAACGGTCTTTCTACTAATGTAGAATCCCTAATGTGTCTATCCATAATCTTTTCCAGACTTATCAACAGAAAAGAAGTCAGACATATAGGTCTGTATGCATTGGGATTGTCATTAGACTCTTTCCCAGGCTTAAGTATATAACAAACTCTTGCCTCCCTCCATCTATTAGGAATCTATGCAAGTGTTAAACAACCCCTAAATAATTCCAGAAGGTAGGTGGTTGTGCCAAAGAGGGGTTTTCATTTAAATGCCCCACGTTACGGCGAGTAGTGCGGGCAGATCTAAAAGATAAACATAAGACTTAAGCTTTGAGAGAGACTCGAAGCCTCGAGGCCACTACCTGACCAGCAAGGACCCTCCAAGGTAAAAAAGATGTAGGCTGGTAAATAGATGGTAAGATATTTTTTTGCACCATCATCAACCTACCAATCCCTTAAGATACAGTCCACTGCTTAAAAACTAGAATGTTACCATCAAATTTAGAATGTTGCTTTATTGAGACTCATGAGAATTATTTTGCTGTGATTGTAAAAGTTGCCTAAACAGTAGGGTTTAATCACAGGTAGGCCTTTTTCCAAAAAGGCCAGGAAAATCCCATCAGTACCAGGCTAATTAGAACGATGCAAAAGAGATAATTGCCCATTCAACTCTCCTAGAACAAACAATTCTTTTGGCTTCAACCACTTATCTTTGCCACAAGTGTGACTGTCCATAGCGAGATTAACTGTATACTCATCCAGCATTAGGCAGTCAGAAAAATGGATACGCGCTAGAGCCTCCAGAGTATCTTCCTCAGACTAGGTGTTACTTTCTTCAACCCTCACCAATCCATCCATCTGCTTGGATAAGATTTTATGAACCATGGACGTGGATGATATGTAGTTTATGTAATTTTAAAAGTTTCTCCATGCCCTCCTTTTTGCTCTGTGTATGGCCTTATTGTATTCAGTGAGAGCAAGCAAGCATCCCATCTGCCCATGCTTTTGGAAGCATTAAAGAGTTTTCTAGTTAAAGCTCTTAACTTGTCAAGTTCATGATTCCACCAAGAAACATTCCTGTTGGAAATAATGGAACAGACACAGTTACTGTCAATGTAGATCCTCATTATTGCCTCAGGTAATGAGGAATTGAGGCATTCCACAAAACGTGACACTGACGTCTCACTCCATGTACCACATGTAGCTCACGTCATTCTATAAACAATGGATATATACGACTTGTATTGAAAATATACTTCACTGAACGTGCTAGGTCTTGCATATTTTTAAGCTTGAACTTGCTAGGACAGTAACAAAGTTTAGAAAAACAGCAGACATATGGAAAAAATATTTTTATTTCTTAAGATAATTACAAATGGAAAAACAAACTGTTTGACAATAATGCAATAAACCTATTGTGTTTCATTTGTGATTTGTTTGAAATCAAGACAAAGAATAGACTTTTTGGCATAACATACACTCAGTATCAACTCGTTTTGCCTTTTTTTTTTGCAACATTTTTCTGATTCTCACCATATTTTCGTAGATTATTGTGGCATCAGGGGCAACGTTTCCTTACTATTTTACGATCTTCATTTCGCTCAATTTTTGTATGAAAATGCTGGGCTGTAAGCAAATTAGAGGATCTTGGATTACCAGAAGCCGATGTATGCCCTCCAGGCTGACTGTCTAGTAGCAGAAATTCGTGTATTATTTCTTTTTGTGCCTATAGCATGGTCAGTCTTGATTTTCTGTTTGCAGCTGGGTGCAATTTTTGATATAGGAATGTAGCATTTGTTACTGATGTACATATCAATACGCCAAGTGTGATTTTTTTTGCTTGAAAGCTGAAAGCTGGTCAGACACATCTATACCTTTCTTTCCTTCATTCGTTAAGTCAAGCACAACCTTTGGTTTAATGAGGAGAATAGTTGGGGTGGTCAGTCAAAAATAAATATTATCATTTATTTTTGCCTTCCTTTTTGACTGATCACCCCAACTATTCTTCTCTTCATTATCCACGACAGTCAACCAATTACCAATTATGAACCTTTGGTTTAAGTTTTGGCTGATATTCCCCTGACATTTGCATCTCAGCACCATGGCAAGTCGCGATCATGAAAACATATCTTTTGTCTTTCCACTTCACCAAGTCAAGCACAACCTTTGGTTTAAGTTTTGGCTGATATTCCCCTAACATTTGCATCTCAGCACCATGGCAAGTCGAGATCATGACAACATCTCTTTTGTCTTTCCACTTCAAGATTGTAATATTGTTTTTTTTGTAATGCAACAACTTACAAAAATATTTTTTGTAATAAGATCCATAAAATCAACTATTTCATCAGTCAAACTTTTACGATAAATAGACACTATAGATTGGTCACCTTAGAGGTTGTCCCTTCATCATACTGCTGACGTCGCAATGGTTGTATTGTATTACTCCATCCATTTTTAATCAGATTTATTTCTTCTGATGTTAGTTCCATCTCTTTAGCTGTCCAGTTTTTGGAGGTAGCCCATAGAAGAGCCCTCGAAACTTTGATGCAAGTCACTGCTTCTTCCAGATATAGTTGGTCTTTCGCCAAATGACTTATCATTCGTCGACAGGACACTTTCCAAATCATCATTTCACCTAGACTGAAATCATGATCGGCAATTCATCATCACAAACAATACTTAGTTTTTCTTGGACAGTCATCTTCATCTGAAGTCACTATACTCAAAATCCCTTTCCTCCAGCATTCACCGCATTTCATCTTCAGTCAGATAACGTTTTCGACCACAGGACATATTAAAAAAAAAAAAAAAGCAATAAAACACGCACACTTAACCTTTCCACAACTAGCACAAGTAAAATGTCACAAAATAACCTCAACTAAAACCGCCTTGCAGTGTTTCCAGTATCATAACAATTACTTTTTTCGGATGATACTGCTATGATGAAAAACCTAAACTAGTACATTTTGTAGTAAATTCAACAATAGACACAAATAAGGATAAAATAGGGAAAGAACAACAAAATAAACTGAGAAACCACATGTGGCTCACAGGCATGCAGGTACTAAAAAGTCTCACAACACCTGTGAGCCATATGTGTTTCACGGAAATACTGTATACTTCTCAATATCTAAATTTTTTTAAAGGGTTAATCTGGTTTTCTGGCACCATAGAGAACCCTTTCTTAATAAAAAGTCATTTGGACTTGTTTTTATGTTTCATACAGGGAACGGGTTAAAGAGTTTTCTAGTTAAAGCTCTTAGCTTAAAGTTCATTATTCCAACAAGAAACATTGCTGTTGGAACTAACAGAACAGACACAGTTAATCAGTGTAGGATCTCATAATTGCCTCAGATAACGAGGGATTGAGGCATTCCAAATGCCAAGAGTTCCTAACAGTCTTAGGACAGCATTTGACTAAGAACATAGTTACGTCTGTACCTTAGAACAGAAAAGGCCAATGTACAAAATTATGAAATTCAAAGGAGCTGCAAAAAAAAAAAAAAAAAAATCAGTTAGGGCATACATTCTTTTAAGGAACAAATGTCCACCTATTATCAGTTAATCTCAATAGCATTGAATTTTTCAATATTTAACATATTATAGGGATATTGATGGTGTTTAATGAAAATTGATTATTCGTAATATTTATTTTTGGGTATCAACCGTAATTTGTTAAATTTTAATGATTATAATTTCTATAAGATTAAATTAGTAATTATGTAATTTTTATAACAATAAAAGTTATTAAAATTATCTAAATGGTACTGAATCCAGGAGGCTCAAGGACATTTGATAAATCGAACAGTTTTGCAACTATTTTCAGCTATATATAAGCATCTATATATAACTATATATAAGCACGAAGTTTCAGAGACGTGAGTTAGGTCACATTTAATTAGTACAGAGTGAGCCCATAATAGAAACATTGGTGTTGTACTGGCTGAACTATTTAAAGTACAATCAAACTTTTTTATGAATACTATTAAGAACAATATACATATTTTATTAACAATAGTTCACTGAGTTATTGACAAGATGTTAAAAATCATGTATGAATATGTGTTAATAAGAATAAAATGGTTCTGAAAAAGAGATTATTATATTATAGTGTCAATATTTGTGTGAACTACAAGGTCTCTGGAAAGCAGTATATTTTAAAATAATATTTTTTTAAAATTAATTATTATTTGGGGGATACTCACCAGATATGGTGGATACCAGGGAAATAAAATATCCAGGGTAGACCAAAATTAGCAAAACCCAGGTGCAACGGTTCCCAAATTGGGCCATTACCTGGTCAGCGTCTGTTCTCCATTTCAGAGGTGGAAAAATATTCCCTAATCACCTGTCAGGAAGATATAAAATGAACTAACCCATTAAATATGGAGCTATGAAATAGGAGATTAGCCTCGGAAGAGCCCGACAATGAAGCTGCATTGAATGAGAACAGTGGACAGCTTCCTTCAGGGACTATCCTGCCGTCAAGGACCACAAGACTGTAACATTTACCGGCCAACAGCTGAAGTTTGAGCTTGAAGGAGAGACATTCTCAGCCCACACAAAGTCGACAACAGAGACCAGGAGGTGCAAAGAGGATGAAATGGACACCAGATATGAATAAGGAATGTCCGGGCATACTGCTTGGCAACAAATATTGAAATGGAGAAAATGGGATATCTGAATCGTATACAGAGATACTAAAAAGAGTTCTTCCCAGATGTTAATATTAGCACACAGAGGCTGAGTGACCAGGTTAAGGTAATTTTAGCAAGACAAAAACAATTATTATATTATACATTCCGTTATGTCTATTATTTTATATTATATCATTTTTCTTTCAATCTCTCCTGTAGATCTGTATATTCACATTTGAATTTATTATATATTACATTACAGTTGTTACCATCTATTTACTTCAATTTAGGATCTTGTTACTTAGCTTACTCTGTTTATATTTTAATGTACTTACTGTTATTATTTTAATAAGCTTATTCACATGTTTATATTTTTTTGTCTAAATATTATGTAACTTCCACAATTCTCTATCTTTTTGTTGTATTTTATCTGCTCTAGCCCTGAAGAAGACCTGCAAAGTCAGGTCGAAACGTTGGCTTTTAATAAAATAGTTTTACCACTTTTTAGCCTATTTATGACTGCCACCCCAGATTTGTCAGATTCTTTGAGTACATTCATAATGCACTAGAGAGCAGGGCAAGAATTTCGGTTTTGTAGGTATAATTAGCAGGAAAACATAAAAGAAGTAAATAGTAGAGAATTTTATTTTTGCAGCACACTTTTGCATGATTTTGGTTTATATTACACATTTTATAAGTTTTTTTATTGCACAAAACTTGGGCTCAAGTTATTACCATATTTAAGCAAATGAGGAGAAATATCTTTAACTAATATGGTTTAACAACAGTGTAGAGAATAATATCCTCTTCACACCACCCAAGAGAGAAGTAATTATGTTTTTGTTAACATGTAGTTAAAATATTTTAATGAAAGGACAAGTAAGGGTAGAATAACAAAATTACTTCAATATTGGTAATTTTCTAGTAAAAAAATACTTTACCTTACTCATATGACAAACAGTGTCAGAAAATCCCTTCTGGAAATGCCAATCAAGAATGGCTGTAAATATTTTTGAGAGTGTAGTTTCTCTAAATGAATCAATACCTATAATGTTCATATGTCTAAGAAACCTAGAAGTGACAACATTAGAACTTCCTCCAGGAGGCAGCATAGCACCAATAAATATCTGTAAAATATTTTTGAAAAATAAAACTTAAAAATAAATTTTCTTATTGAATAAATTGAAAGAAAATTTTATGATTATAATTTATTGCAGCAAATAATGATAATGAATTTTAATACATAATAAAATGGGATGACAATGTTTCATCTTAGTGACTTAGTACAAAGTTGGTTTTTAAATTAAAATGTTTCTGGCACTCTGAAAAGTATAGGTAGGGAGATTATTATTTTTTTTCTTGCTCATTCATTCAAGTTCACACATCTACTATTGTGGACAAGTCCTCGGCATCGAGAGACCTTCCTTGGCTGCCAGCTTAATAGGAAAGAGCTTCATCTCTTACATTAAAACTAGTAAAATCAGGACTGGTTGCTTTATTTTAATATAGACTCAACCATTTTAGAGTGGAACACTGCCACTACCTGTTGAAAGCTAATACCAAGCACATTCCTTTTCTCTGCAAAGTAGTGAAAACCACCCAATGATGGCCAGCCCCCTAGGGTGGGGAAGTGAATGTGGAGTGAGTTTTTAGGTTTGCGTCGCAAGTGGGAAACACCTCTTCAGTAGGATTGGCAAACTGAGGAGGTAGGCTAGAGCCTAAAAACTTGAGGGCAGTGGGCTGATAACTCGTACCCCTAAAAAAATTTTACCATGAATCCCACACAAAGACAAGTAAGCCAGTCCCTCCATAGATGACGTAGGGGAGACCGGAGATGAATATAGACAATTGGTTTTTCTTATCTATAGAAAAGAGAAAATAGGAATAGTGACTATGAACTCAATGAAAGAAAAGTGATTAAGGTAATAATAAAATCCATAATATAAAAAATTACGTACATGCTAGAAAACAGAAAATGTATAATAAATAATGTAAAACATAAAAGATGGATAAATTCAGCAGATGAATAATGACGTGTTATATTTGTAGAATATAAAATTAATGTTTTGAATTATATAAAATTAAATTGTATTTTAATTTTTAAAAAAAGTGATACAAGATAATGGTCCAGTACTGGCCGAAACAAACAATATGGTAAAAAGCAATAAAACATCAGTGAAAAATGTGTAATCAATAATATAAAACATAAAAGATGGATAAATTCAGCAGATGAATAATGACGTGTTATATTTGTAGAATATAAAATTAATGCTTTTAATTATATAAAATTAAATTGTATTTTAAATTTAAAAAAAAGTGATACTTGAAAATGTTCCAGCACTGGCCGAAACATAGAATATGGTAAAAAGCAATAAAACATTAGAGGAAAATAATTGCCTTGACTTAATGAAAAATGAATATTATGAAGGTTGCTATGACAGAGAGTCCAATTGCAGTACAAGTCAGATTATATCAGTCAGTGTTTATGAAAGACCAAATGTGGATCAAATCTTCTTAATAAGAACTATCTTAGAAAAAGTCAGAGAGTACAATAGGACACTGCCTGTTTATTGACTTTCAGAAGGCCTACGACTTAAGAGAAGAGATATATCAAAATCTACTAGGATTGGAAACTCACTCCAAGCTAGTTAGTTTAATACAAATGGCCATAAATAAGGTGGAATGTACTGGTACGTGGAGGTCTGTCTTTGACTTTGAAACATACTAAGGCCTCAGATGAATTTGAATTGAAAGATGAGATGTATACTTGATTGTTTGTTCACCAATCCCGAACTACCATCCAAATTTGGGCCAAATTAAATTGATGTTTTTTGAGCTATAGGTGTATCAAGGAAAATATATTTGCGCCAATGTAAGAGAAAGTAGATTGAATTTAATAAAATTGATACAGCATCATTTTTTTTACCAATATTCAACTTTGTGTCAAACCAAACAAGCCGTTTCTGAAATAATATCTATGAAAATAATTTATACCTGTGTATACTAAAGTAATGGGTGGAATTTGGTGAAATTGATATGGGACTTTTTAGGCAACAATCTCTGAAAATTTCATGAAAATCGGACAAACAGTAGTAGGTGATGCCCATTACATGGATTTGACAAAAGACATGGAACCAAGTCGTCCCTTGATGTCTAAAATTTAAAATGCTCTCAAACAGAGAGAATGAGGATGATAAATTAATAAATAGAAGAATCAGTTGAAGAATCGCAGACTCTACTTCTCAATGGGACTGATTGAAGAAGAATTACACAGATACCCTTCACTTAGGGAATTTCATTCAGTAAATGAAGTTAGTCTTCATATAGTATCAAATAATTTTTTTGTTCACAAATAATTATACTTACATAATTTTTTTGTTCACAAATAATTATACTTACATAATTTTTTTGTTCACAAATAATAACTTACTAATAATAATAATAATAATAATAATAATAATAATAATAATAAACTTACTATGTCCACAAGATCTATACGAGATGTTGCTTTTAAATCATACCAATGCCTATGATCAATCCATTGTCTTAGTAATTCTATTGGTGGTTGAGCACCATAAGTTTCTTTTTGTGGCATACTTAAATCATCAACAAATAAAATACAAGTTTTACCCATTGAAGGTCCATATACACCTTTTCTTCTTCTGTAATAAAAAATCAAGAGAAGTTTTATTATGAATATTTTTTATATTCAAATACAAAATAGATAATATTATGCATATTACATGCAAAATCCTCGCTCTGTCTCCTCTTTCCATTTCCCCACCAATCGAAAATCTTTTGCTGAAATATTCACCTCCTAATATCTATTACTAATTGGTGTCATCTGCTGACCTCTTAGGGTCAGAAAGAATGAGAAATGACGATAAACCGCACAAACTGAGTCAAGCGGAATTGAATGATCTCATTAGAGACCTTGGCCTGTGTAGTATGCATTATTATTATTGTTAGAAATTAATGTAAAAACACGTGATGTTGTACATTGTTGGAAAATATACAGATTGATTTATTTGGGAACTTACTCAACCTTTGTTTTTGTCTATACACAATCATTACAGCCTGTCAAACGAGAAGGCAGAAATTCTTGGGTCTTGACTACAGCAATGGAATCTTCTCAAAAGTGATGTCAGAATCTCACAGTACAAAAAACTGCTTCCCTTTTTTGAGAAGAAAATAATCTTGTTTGCTGTGACATTAATGGCTTGATTAAATCTTTTAATTTGGACCATGATCCAACTAAATGGAGGCTATTCATTGACTCCTCCAAGCTTAGTTTGAAAGTTGTGGTACTTCACAATGGCAACCTTCTTTCTTCTATTTCTGTTGGTCATGCATTTCACATAAAGGAGACATATGCAAATATGACAGTCCTCATGGACTCACTCAAATATCATGAACACAAATGGAAAATCTGTGGTGATCTAAAAGTCATTGCCATACTCTTAGGAATGCAACTGAGGTACACAAAACATTGATGCTTCTTATGTATGTGGGACAGTAGAGATGGGAAATTGCATTATATTAAAGGAGACTGACATGCAAATAATCTTAACCCTAGCAAAAAAAATGTCGTTGCCAAGCCACTCGTGGACCAAAAGATATTCTACTTCCACCCACCCCTGCATATCAAGCTGGGTTTGATGAAAAATGTTGTCAAAGGTATGAACCAAGAAGGACAGGCCTTTAAGTAAATAAGAGGGAAATTTAAGTGATGCAAAAGTTAAGGAATGCATTTTTGTCGGGCCAAAAATTCTAGTATCTATGATGGATCCTGCAATTGACCAAATTTTGGAAGGGAAAGAAAAAGAAGCTTGTAGCTTGTTAAGCCTTCAAGGGAGCTGCTCGTGGATTTTTAGGCAACAAAAGAGATGACAACTACACGTATTTGGTGACAGTGCTCCTGCCCTTGGTAGTATGGTGACAGTACCAGAACCTTGGATGCAACATGTTTCTTAAAATCCATTTTCTCCACTCCCACCTAGACTTTTCTCTCCTAGTTGTGGAGCTGTTAGAGATGAACATGGAGAAAGATTCCATCACATTTCTGTTGAAAAAAGATATCAGGCCCATTGTAATGAAGCAATGCTTGCGGATTACTGTTGGACTTTGTGTAGGGATGCTTCGGAACTCCTTACAAGAGCCAAGCTTAAATACGATGATCTCATGAAGCCACCACATAATCTCTTCAGACATGACCATCTGCGAGTTATTTTTCCAGCAATTTAGAACTCTTAGAATGTATCTTTTTCTCTTAACCCGTTAATATGAAATACTTCCACCTACTGTATATCACAGGAACTAGGGAAAAATTTGTCATTGTCATATTCGTTTTTGCAACCCAAAATTAGTAAAAATTGACTCATGAAGAGCTGGAAACATTAAAAAACTTATGGTTAGCACCTAAAAAAGGAAAAATGATTACATTCGGTAAGCTGAAGAGGGACCAAACGAAATATGTAATATTATTATAATATGCTTATATTAATAAATATTTTGTAAGTAAAAGCAAGCTATTTATTTATATATGGCGCTACAGTCCTGTAAGAATCTGGGCCTCTCTTATTATCCTTTGCCACTCTCCTCTATCCCGAGCGAGCATTCTCCATCTTCGAATTCCCATCCTTTTCAGGCTCTTCTCTACCTGATCCAGCCATCTCAGGCGTGGTCTTCCTCTTCCACGTTTTTCAGCAGGCTGATCTTCTAGCAAGCTTTTGGGAATCGCATCTCGGGACATACGCGCCACATGGCTCAACCATCTGATTTGGTTTCCCCTCACAATTGAGACCAAATCCGGCCTCGCATACATTTCATACAGTTCTTTATTAGTGGGAATTCTCCATTGTCCCTGTTCGCACACCGGGCCATAGATTCTGCGGAGAACCCTTCTCTCCCATGCGAGTAGCCTTTTTTCCGATGCTTGGAGATCACCCAAGTCTCAGAGCCATAGGTGGCGACAGGTCTGATGACTTTCTCATATACCGTGATCTTTGTTCTGTGAGAAAGAGATCTGTAGTTCAATAATTTTTGCAATGCAAAACAGCACCTATTCCTGGCAGTCATCCTTGCTTTTAATTCTTCTACCATTTCGTTGTTTTCTGTGATTAGTGCTTCCAAATATTTAAAATTTTTGGGTGTGGTTACCAATTGTGACGCGTTCGACTGTTTCACTTGGCTTTTTAGACGTTTGCATGTAAATAGTCTTCTGTTTATTCATTTGTAGCCCTAGTTCCTTAGTTGCAGTTTCGGAACTAGGCTAACAAAAATCGATCAAGGGCTGGCGGCAAACTAGGTTAACGAAAAGCAAGCTAACAAAAAGCTAAAAAATGAAGTAAAGGATAAGGAAGTAAAAAGTAAGTTTAAACTAAGGGCCACATGATGTCACTCGTGGGTAACCATCTAATAGTGGACAAGCAACAACTTTCTCAATTACTTGAAAATGGTTCTTAATCACCAACAAATTACTTAATAATTAACAAATCACTTACATTAAATTTTTTTTTTTAATTTTGAACTAACCTGTCTAATTTAGACATTATAATTTCTTGAGTCTGATTGGCTGAAGTTCTGGCAGAAAAATTTATTACATTCGGAAGAAATTTATCTCGAGAAAGAGACATTAAGTGATCCAGTACTATAGCTGACTTTCCTGTCCCAGTAGGTCCAACAAAGAGAATAGGTATTTGGAATGACATAAACGTCTTTAAAAAAAATTTCTGGCGGGCCATTTCATCAGTTTGAACAATTAAATCTGACACCTGGAAATTATATATATATATAATAATGTATATATAAGCTAAGATTCGTATATGCAATGGTATTAATCATAATACCATTTCATAGTTTAATCTAATAGACAATAATGACACCACATGTTTGATTTAATTTTACTATTCATTATTAACTTTATCATGTAAAGATCGAATAAAGTAAATTTGTTTCTTACATTCATTGAATACCTATTAAAGTGACAATTTGCAATAGTTTTAACCCGCTGAAACCCAGGACGAGTGGGCACTGGTCCGTTTTTTTTGGCCAGGAAAAAAATTTTTAGAAGATGCATGACGGAGTGTTGAGACCACCAGTCCTGAACGTACTGGACATACCTCCATTACCCCAAGATACTTTGGTGGCAGCACATTCGAACGTGCTGAAGTGGATGAAAATTAGGGTAGCGACTTCCCAAGACCTGAGGAAGGCGATATCAGACCTCGAGCGCTTCGCAGGAGAAATGGATGAGTTAAACCATTTTCTTAAAGGCGGTGATCGGATTATTCTCCCCCATAATAATATGTAGGCCCTCACTATCATCAAGTTCTTTCTGCAATGATTCAAAGAACTGAGTATGGGATTAACATTGGGCCCATAAGCAAGCAGTCTGGCCAGAGACAGCTACCTGTACACATCACTATTACTCTCTTGTATCATCAATTCTGTTTTTCTTTATTTTAATCTTCAGTAAAGTTCATTTTATTTGAGTTTTTTTTCTCTTAAAACATTATTAGTATTCACTGTTATTAGTGTCATATATTCACTTAGAAAGTGTCGTGAATCTAATTGAGTTTCAGGAGCCACGAGACTGTAAACATCTACTAATCCATATGGCATTAGACAACACTTTTTACTACTTTCATCAAAACAACTGCGTCCCGGTATTTATTTATATCTTAATTGATTTAATTTTAATTAAATATGGTGCAGTATAATAATTGCAATAATACTATTGCACGCAAAGACAAAAACAATCTTTATTGCGCAAAATGAAAAATTTTTTTTTACTGTAGGTGTTTCAATCTAAGTGAAAAAGAAATTGAAGTCTTAAAAGCAAACAAAAAAACATGGGTATGCCCTAATTGTGACCAGGCCAAAAAATCAAACACTGAGCCATCTGCCTCAGAAATACTGGTGGCAGTAAATTGCTTAGACTCAATCATCAATGAGAATATAAAAAACATACAAACAGCCCTTGATAAATATGGGGAGCTCAGTTTTGAGCTTAATGAAAGATTACCGAAAATTGAGAAACACCTCGAAAGTCATGTCAGTCATTTCTTTTATATTTTTAAATATAATCCAAAATTAACGTTTTAATTCATTTAACAAATCATCCAAAAACTTGTTCACTAATAAAAACATATGTTCTTTTTAAAACAAAATGATTTAGACAATTAAATTGCAACAGAAAACATGAACCAATTTACACTCCCCTAAAACACCCAAAATATAAGATTTAGGATATGCTACACCCAGTCCATAACCAAATAATGGAATTTCATCTTCTTGTATAATGGCAATGGTCAGATTGAGTGTCTTCCTGAAAGCATTAACAGTGAACTTTAGTTTTTCATAGTATCACCAGCAGTAAATTTGTGTAAGCAACAAGGTTACGTATGGGACGAAGTTCCGGTGATCCTAACCGCTTACTAATTACAGACTCAGCAGCTTCCAGATCCTAGCCTTTGGAAATTTCAATTCATGTTATCACGCATTTTTATGTCAAGCAACACTTTTGTTCCATGTGAAACATTTCGTTTTTTACCCCGATACGAACTTATGTACAATTCTTCTGAAATACTACCATCGTTTTTGAAATGAGTCAATTTGCGTGAAGAATAATGGTTTGCTACTTTGGCCTGTCCTGCTTTTAAACATACTTTCACGAAATAATTTTTTTCATTAAATTCAAAACATTTCCTAAAGGCCTTTACCAATGCCGATCGTGTCCTGGCCACAATATCCAGATTGTCAGTGTATCCCAATATCTGTACAATACGGGTGAATATCATGTGGTCTGTCTGAATTCCTGAATCCCACACAGCTTTCTCCAGTGCAAGATTGAAGAGGAGATACGCCAGTCCATCATCCTGTCTTAATTCTTTGTTGGAGGGAAATGCTTCAGAGCAGTCAGACTGAATCCGTACCTGACACCTTACATCTTTCATTGTCGACTTCACAAGACGTATCAGTTTACATAGGATACCCATTTCTCCCAACTCCTCATACAGCTTAAGTCGTTTGATGATGTCATATGCACTCTCAAAGTCGACAAAAAGGTGGTGTGTGACTAGTGGGCGGGGTGGCCAAATGGGCTAAAGCGTGTGCACAGCACCGCCGTTGCCCGGCAACCTGACATATGAATCTAATGATATAAAAATAGTCACGAGTTCGTGCCCCGGTGGCGAAAGGAGTCTTTTATATCCCTGCCCACATCCCCTGGCCCGGGAAAACCCCGTATAGCCTTAACGGCGAGGAAGGGGAGGACACACACAAAAAAAAAGGTGGTGTGTGACTCCATTCCAAAATTGTCCTAAGGGTGAACACTTGATCAACAGTGGATCTGCCTTTTCGGAAGCCAGCTTAATATTTACAAAAGATAATACTTACAAATTACCGATAGATGTGTTCAGTGACATCTAGAGTAGGAAAATCTCTAACCTATAAGAAAATTAATACCTCAAGCAAAGAATAGCATTGATATTTGACAATGAATGGCATGAAATAAATGTATGTTGTCAAATGATTAACAACTATCTGACTGTTTTTGGGATAGGAATTGGAATAGAAGGGTTTTGAAGGTGGATATGGAGGAAATTCCAGAAATTAACAGAGCGAGCAATAAAGGAGTTTTGGAATGAGACAGATCTGTGAAAAGGCATTTAAAGGTTAGAAGGTCGAGATCTTGTGGACAGGGAATGGACTGAGGATTTGAACTGGAGGAGGTTGTAGGCTTAAGAAGGACGATGATTGTTGATGTTTTGGCAGAGGAAGGTATCTAGGAAATATTGTCTTCGGAAGGAGAGGAAAAGCCACCTTAACTGAATGTTTTCAGTTATGTCAACATGTTTCTGACCGTAGTGGTGAGAAACATGGCAGTATCTCGTGGCCCCCATCACAAATCTTACACAGCTGTTCATTAGTCTTTTCAGTCTATCGCGGAGCTCCTCCGAGAGTCAGCTGTAGTCAAAGTGGAGGAAAATGAGAGAGGAAACTAGGAGTCTACGCGTATGGTTAGGTAGGAGATGGCAGAAGCGATGAAATAGTTTGAGGATGGATATTGTCCACCAAGAGATGTGAGAAATACGGTGATTCCAGAAGAGGTTTTCATCAATGAAAATTCCTAAATTTTTAAAAGAAGAGTAGGAGATTGGCTGGTCATTAAGGTGTAGGATGGGAAAGTCGGGCTTGGGGGATCTAAGAAGGGGCTTGGAAGCAACAACAATGGCCTGAGTTTTGACAGCATTTAACTTTAATACATTTACATTTGCCCAGGCACTGATTCGATCTAGGTCTTCTTAGATCTTGGTAAATGCTCCCAATAATTCAGGAGGGGAAAATGATAGGTAGATCTGAGAATCGTCTGTATAAAGGTGGTAGGAATAATGGAGAATTGATTTATGTAGGTTGTTAATGTAGAAGCTGAAAAGGAGAGGAGATATATTTGAACCTCTGGGCAACTCCAGAGGATAAAGAAAGGAAGGCAGATAGTGGTTCATTGGATATGGAGACTGCTTGGGTATATTGTGAAAGGAAAGATTGAAACCAAGAAATGGAACAATTGGAGAAGGATAATAATTTCAGTTTGTTGAAAAGGATGGAATGGTTAATGCAATTGAAGGCTTTGGAGAAGTTGAGAATGAAAAGGATAGTTAACTTTGTATCATCTATCCTTATCATCTATGAACTTGTATCATCTATGTCGCTGGTGATTTTAATTAAGGATTGTGTGGAGTAGCTGGGACGGAAACCAGATTGGAGAAGATCAAGTAGATTGAACTTTTCAAGAAAGTTGGACACTTCGGATTGCACCAATCTTTCTACGGATTTTGAGAGGTTGGAAAGAATTGAGATTGGGTGGAAATCTTAGGGTGAGGTCGTATTAGAATTTTTATTGAAAAGAAGAACAATGTCTTTTTTCCAAGATGAAGGGAATACTGAATTCTGAAGGAAGAAATTGTAGATGAAAAGGAGAACTGGGAGGATTTCAGGGAGACACAATTTTATTAATTGGACAGGGATGACGTCTGGTCCTATGGAATTGGTGTGGGATTTCATAAACGCGGTTAATGGTCTGTGGGAGAAATGTCAGAAAAATAAAAGTTATTCTCATTAAATGATATCTCTAGAGGAAAGCCGGAACAGGAGGATAAAGGAGAGGTATTAGCAACAGATATAAAATGTGAGTTTAGATCATCAGAGGATATTGGAAAGGCTGGCGTAGGGGATCTGGAAGGATCACAAAGAGAAAGTGTAGCCATTTTGATTTGATATCAGGAGTTGAGGAAAGGGCTTCATGAAAGTAGAGGGATTTCGTATGCCGGATCCTTGTTTGTGTTAAGTTGCGAAGCACCCTGAACACTTGGTAGTGATCTGCAAGCCTAGTAGGTCTTAAGTGTCTACGGACAGTGTCGCATCTCTTCTGCAGATCTTTAATTTCCTGACACATCCATTGCACAGGCCAGTGACGAAATTTTGAGATTTTGAGTGGGGCATGGGTATTGAGGATATTGAGGAGATTGGTAGTAAGAATATCAACCATAGAGTCGATAGAAGAGCAAGAATAAATTCCATTCTACTCTAGGATTTCCAGGTCAGGTAATATTTTTTCACGTGTAAGGGAATCTAGATGGTGGAAAGTGATAGTTCGAAGCTGGATAGGAGGAGTTAGGATATTATATGTTATTTGTATCAGATCGTGAGATGACAAAAAGAAGGATACTGGCAGTTGGGAAGAGGAGAGGAGGTTTTGTGTAGAGTCTATATAATGTTGAAATCTAGCCAAGTATCGGAGGTGCTAATATGGTGAGTGGGAGAAGAATAGGTCTTCTAGATAGGATTTGTTATTGGGAGTTAGATACGAAATTGGTATTGACGACAACGGAGATGATTATTCTGGGATAGAGTGGAACGGAATTCAATATGGTAGATTCAAAGGACAGGGGAAATGGAACAAGAGGAGGGGTCAATATACCACAGCGTAGAGGAGAGGAGAAGTATTACAGAGGATTTCTAAAAATGGGTATTCAATTTGTGGGTGGTTGGAAGGTGGGGATAAATCGAGGATTCGGGTCTTCAGGCTATTGTGGACAAATATGGCTACTCCACCGCTAGTCCGGCTTACCCAGTCAAGACGGAGGAGGCTGTAATTAGGGACAGAGACAGAAGAAAAGGGGATATAAGGTTTAAGCCACGTTTCGAAGATGGCTATAATATGATAAAAATTTTGAGTGAAATATTGCAGGAATTCGTCATAGATGGCAGGGAGGAATTGAGAGTTAACATGACAGGTGATTAGGGTACTACACATGAGAAGGATTTGGAGGGAAACAGTCAGAGTTTAGTAGAGAAATACTAAAACAAATAAAAAATACATACATATACAATTAATAAAAATGAGAAAAAAGAAAGTGTTTACAGAAAAAAAAAATAGACTATGACGAATTCCTGCAATATTTCACTCAAAATTTTTTTCATATTATCGCAATCTCTAAAACGTGACTTGAACCTTACATCCCATCCTCTTCTGTTTCTTTGCCTAATCACACCCTCCTCTGTCATGACCGGGTAAGTCGGACTGGCGGAGGAGTAGCCATGTTTGTTCATTATAGCCTGAAGACCCGAATCCTAGATTTCTCACCACCCTCCGATCATCCACAAGTTGAATACCTTCTGGTAGAAATCTATTCTGATCTTCCTCTCATTTATGTTGTGGTATATTGTCCTCCCCTTGTTCCATTTGATCAATCCTTTGAATCAACCCTATTCAATTTTGTTCCACTATATCCCAAAATAATTATCTCCGGTGACCTTAATACCAATTTCCTCTTTATGGCAAATCCTCACCATTTCTTTCCAGCCACCATACCAGCAGGTCCGACATTTGGCTAAACTTCTACATTATAGAACTATCACCTTCCGCCATATAGATACCCTTAAACGAGAAAAATTATTACCTGACCTAGAAACTCTAGATTGGAATGGAATATATTCTTACTCTTCTATCAACTCCATGGTTGACATTCTTACCACCAATCTTCTTAATATCCTCAATACCCATGCTCCCCTCAAAACCTCTACCTTTCGTCAACGGCCGGGTCACCTTGGATGGGTCAGGAAATTAAAGATCTGCAGAAAAGGCGCAACGCAGTCCAAAGGCGTTTTAGACATACTAGGCTTGCAGATGACTACCAAGCATTCAGGATGCTTCGCAATTTGACACAGACAAGGATTCAACGTGTGAAAGCTACCTACTTCCATGAAATCCTTCCCTTACCTCCTGATATCAAACCGAAATGGCTACTGCTTTGTAATCCTTCCAGATCCCCTACCTCAGCCTTTTCTGTATCCTCCGATGATTTAAACTCACATTTTATAAATGTCCCTAATACCTCGTCTCCACGCTCCTTTTCCGGATTTTCTCTAGAGATATCTTTTAACGACAATAACTTTTATTTTTCCAATATCTCCCCCACAGACCTTTTAACTCCCACACCAATTTCATAGGACTAGATGGCATCCCTGTCAAATTAATAAAATTATGTCTCCCTGAAATCCTCCCAGTTTTTCTTTTTATCTACAATTTCTCTCTTCAGAATTCAGTATTCCCTACTAAACAAATTAAAATCATTATCTTTCTCCAATAGTTCCAATCTTTCCTCTCCCAATGCACCCAATTCATACAGTTTCTGCTGTAATTAATGGAGAATTACGAGAAGGTTTGAGAGTGCGTTTTTAGTGTAAAATTCGTAGAAATGCCACGAAAATGTGTAAATATGGTGAATAATTTTTGTTATATTTATGGTGAAATAACATTTTCCTCACAGAAACGCAATCTGACACCTCTAGTAAAAACTGCCTATCAGCATTATTTCGGTATGAAAGTAGGGGACCAGAATAAGTCAGGGTCCGCATATATGTTTCAACACATGTTCAGTTATACTGCGATGGATGAGAAAGAAGAAATGATCTATGCTTTCGCTGAGCCTACAAACCATGGTTCGACGGGAGCCTACAAACCATACAGATGACTGTGCTATTTCTGCATAACTCTACCTATAAAGGCATGATTGTCTAAAAAGAAAAGAAGAACAGTTTAGTACCCGAATCTTCGATCTGCTATTCGACCCATTCTGCATTCAGATAGTTTACCAGTTCCTACTCCACCAGAAAATTGTGTGTTTGAAGTAGAAAATGAAGACAGAGTCGAACAAGAAGAAGAACTAAACAGGCCTTCCACATTTCGTGACCCTGATTTTGAGGGAAAAGATGATAAACCGCACAAACTGAGTCAAGCGGAATTGAATGATCTCATTAGAGACCTTGGCCTGTCAAAGGAGAAGAAAGAAATTCTAGGGTCTCGACTACAGCAATGGAATCTTCTCAAAAGTGATGTCAGAATCTCACAGTACAGAAAACTACTTCCCTTTTGTGAGAAGAAAATAATCTTGTTTTGTTTGCTGTGACATTAATGGCTTGATGAAATTTTTGAATTTGAACCATGATTCACTAAATGGAGGCTATTAATAGACTCTTCCTAGCTTAGGTTGAAAGCTGTGTTACTTCACAATGGCAACTTCTTTCTTCTATTCCTGTTGGTTATGCAGTTCACATGAAAAGCCGTAATGATCCTGTGACAATCATACTTTGAGGTCAGGTAGAAATCTACCTGATCAAATTGATGCTACGGGGTGTCACTTTGGGTGGACGGCAAGAGTGTAGGAATGCTCTGGAACTTCCTTACATGAGGCAAGCTAAAAGACGACGATCTCATGAAGCCACCATATAATCTCTTTAGACACAAACAAACATCTGCAAGGTATTCTTCCAGCAATTTAGAACTTTTAGAATGTAACTGCCATTTTGAAAAATCAAATGGACTTTCAATGTTGTTAGCATATATAATTATAATTTATATTTTTCTCTTAACGCGTTAATATGAAATACTTCCACCTAGTTTATATCAGAGAAACTAGAACTAAGAAAAATTTGTTATTGTCATATTCATTTTTCTCAAACCAAAATTAGTAAGAATTGACTCATGAAGTTCTGGCAACATTGAAAAATTTGTTGTTTGTTGCCCAGTGTTTTCAGCAGAAAAGTAGAAAATCCAAGTTTTATATTTTTTTTAAGAGAGCCATGTTTTCTATTTTCTATTATCTCATTTTTTGTTGTAATTTGAGATCCCAGATAAGAGAACTGTTGAATATTATTTAAGGTGTAAGGGCCAAAAGATATTCTTTAATTTTGGGTATTCTTTCCTGCTCCTGTAAACATATATTTTATTTTATTCTGATAAACAGAGCCCCATCTTAGCTACAGCTTTTTGCAATTCAAGGAAGGCACCTTTGAGAGCTGCAAAGAACCATGCAACAATATCGATGTCATCAGCATAACCTAACAGTTGCACCATATATGTAAATATTGTGCACTTAGCCTGAATTCCAGAGCCCCTCACCACCTTCCCCAGAGCCAAATTAAACAATAAACATGCCAAATCTCAGTCCTTTATTGGTGGGAAACTCCAAGAAGCATTCCGAATGAATGCGTTCTCTGCAGTGCACGTCCTGCATTGCCATTTTTACCAGACGAATTAGTTTAGAGAGGATGTTTAGTTCTTCCATTGCTTCATTTCAACTAATCTCTCCTTATGGTATCGTAGGTGCTCTTGACGTCAATAGACAGATGATGAGTGGGAATTTTATACTTATAACTCCTTTCTTCACTATAAACTAGACAAAATTTACTTTAAACTATAATAGAGTGTATCATTGTAAAAAACATTTTAAAAACTTCTAGAATACAAACAATTTTTCTGTATTTTGAGCTCAGATTGTTTCATAAAGTTCAGATTGTTTCAGATCTCACTGAATAATTTAAGTCATCAACCTTGAAAATTAGTTGCGCTGTTCACTCGAAAAAAAAAAACAACATTAAATGCTTAAGCTAAACACATTACCCTCATTTTGACTTTGCTGTAATCAGATAAAAATAAAAATAATATAAATTCTTAAAAAGGGTAACAACATAACATTACTTTTGCATTAGGGGCAAGTGCAGTTCTCTCCATAGTTTCAACCCAACCTATCCATCCTCCTTGGTTTGATTTGTCATAGAAAAAATCCCATACCAAAGCTTTATCAGGAAATATCTGATTTTTAGTGAGTTTGAAACTAGCAGGTTTTGGATTCTCTGTATTTTGGCCAATAAGAAGCATACGATAGAATGTATCAAATTCTATTCTGCTTTCACCTGTAAAAATAAAAATGAATACATTTTATATTTTGTTACTTAAATTAAAAATTAATAAAATAAAATAATTATAATTTTTACTATATTTTTTTTTAATCCACCTTCTTACTCATTTCTTAGAGAAAATGTAATTTTACTATGATTGTGATAATAGATTGTCATGTAATCAGTTAAGGCGGGTTTTCCTAGCAATCTTTTAAAATTATTGAGTAAATTGCTGAATTCTCAGAACATGTTCATTTAAGTCTATTTTCCAAGAAACTGAATATGGCTTAATTTCAATTTTATCATTTGTAACTTTGATAAAAAAAAAATACCATACTAAATAATGCAAAAGAAAAATTGCTTTATTATTAATATTAAATCATAATATTCAGTTGGACTACACAACTACTGGCTTATGCGGAAGATGTCGACATCATTGGGGGCTGTCAGGGAAGCTTTTCTAGCATTTGCGAATCCTGCAAGGTAAGTTGGGTTTGAAGTGAACCAATGAGATGGTGACATTCAGGGATTTCCGCCTTGAGCAAGTCACCAAATTTATTTATCTAAGCTCTATGGTAACACAGGACAACAGCGCAGAAACGTAAATTAAAAGGAAGATACTTTCTGCTAATCAGTGCAACTACAGCCCTGGAAAATAGCTTGACTGTCACATTCTAGAGCCTCTCTATGGAATGAGAAGACGAGGAAGACCGAAGCATAGATGGGTAGACGAAGTTGCAGCTGACATTCAGAACATCCTTGGAGTGTGCAACTGGAAGGCGAAACTGTGATGATTGGCGGAAGTTACTGGTGAAGGTCTGGACCAGGCAACAGGTTGTTGCACCGAGATAATAATAATAATTAATATTTAATCACATTGAAGATATAAATGAAAAGGTTGGTGATTATGTTATTGCTAATGACAATCTAAATCCTGTTAGTGAAGTATTTTCAATGATAAAAAATGAAAATGTTTTCAATTTAGATGTTTTCAGTTGACAACAATGTTAAATTTAATAATACTTGAGATCCAAATTTATGGTATAAAATTATAGGATTCCAACCAGGTAAAAAGATTATTGTCATTTTAAAGTATGATTCTGTTTAGCTAATAAAATAAGAAATGAAGTATCCACTTATTTTTAATTTTATCTTGATCTAATTAATGAATGTTGATGATGAGCCCTAAAACGAGTTCACCTCAATTCATTTTATACTTTTCAAAATTCAAGTTCTTATCTTTCCTTGACCTGTCCAAAGGTATTAAGTGGAGTCATTACAATTACCTAAATAGAATCCGTTCTACTAACCACCGCCACCTACCTTTGTTTGTTAATTTCAACAAATAATCTTCTATATTAAATAACAATTATTATATTATAACTATTACTCCTCAATAGTATGAGATCAATATATTGTCAACGTCATAAATGATGATTTGCCTGTTTGTGCAATTGAGTCAAAATAACAAACACATCTACTGAAAAATTTGGTCTCACTTTAGCTAATTCTTTAGAAAGAATCATAAAAAGAGACCAGCTTTGTATGCAATTTTACCTACAATATTTTTAAACTATGACTAATTTTTCACTAGCTAACTTCATTAGTCAAACTAGGACAGAAATTTGAATAAAGATGATATTTCAACATTTTTGTGAATGAGTTACGCCATTTTAATGATATTTCTGGTTGGAAAATTTATAATATCTGTACAGACAACGAGTACGTTGATTCTAGAGTAGGTAATTGCAGGGTTGAAATATAGAACTGTGAATAAAGCTATCAATTTTCCCACTAGAAATATCAGTAAAATTAATAATCAAAAACGTTGACATTGAAGTCAGTCATTCTCCCAACTGAAAGACTCATATTGACACTACTTTTATTTTGCATGAAATTGCAGGTTTTAGGATAAATACAAGGATTGGGTATTTCCATGAAAATAAAATTGTGTAAATTTAAGCTGCTATAGTTTTAAGTGATTAAGATCTTATAGTATATAAGATTGTGATTGCACTTTTAAATAATAAATAAAGATTTATAATTAGCTAAAAGTTTGAACTCTCAGAGGTTTGGTGGGGATCGGATGTCACAGCAGTGTGATGTATATGAATATCAAACATAATATTATCAAAGTGTTTCTCAGGTATTGTTTTGTGTGAATGCCTGAATACCTGAGTTTCACATTGCAGCGAGTAGTGGAAACAGATCAAATAAGATTTAAAAGATAAGACTTAAAAGACCCCCCGTTACAGCCACGAGACCGTTCTCAGCACTTTTCCAGCAGAAATTCCCAGAGACCACAAGTAGAGCAGACTGGAAGGTCCCTTTTTCTCCTTTATACAATTATCAAATTCTTTCAAAAGTTATATTTAGCATTTTTTTTAAACTCTTAATAATGAGAGATAGTTGATTATTAAAATAAACCATATAAAAGGTACTTTAGAGGAAGAGTCATATGAACATTGGGCATTTAACCCCTGTAAAGTGACATTAACGGGTAAGACCTAAATGATATTAAAGACCACTTAATTATACAATGATACACAGAGTTTAATCAAAATCATTAGACGTTTTTGAGAAAATTGTATAAATGTGTTTCAGCGTAGATATAAAGAGGCACTTCCGGTTATCCGATTTCAAGGAAAAAGTCGCTGTCATATCTAAGGCATATACTTATCTTAAATACGTAATATCAGTTTCGTACGACTTTTTGTTTTTGAGTAGACTGCTAACATACACACACAGTCACACAGCCCATTTTTCGGAACTTGGTTATTTGGACTCAGGGTACCCCAAAACATGTATTTCCGTTGAAAACTCAGATTCAAAAATGTTCATAATCGCAATACTTACCTTTACTATATATTACATATATACATAAGTGAAAGTAATATACTTAGCCTACTTTACAGGAAGCAAGTGCCTTTTGGTTTTTGTAGTTCATGATACATTATAGTTCTTTTAGAAAAAGAAAAGAAGAAGAAATTGGATTGATATACAATTTCCTGAAAATTCGGACAAAGGAAAAGCAAAAATAACTAACATAAATTTAGTTTGAAATTATATAATATATTTTTTTTCTCGGTTCCTGGGACCCATTGGATAAATGCCAGGACATGTGTCAAATATTTTTTGATGTAATATCACCGAGAAAAAAAAATTGGTTTGATATCAGTGACCCAATGACAGTAGCCTGCTCTTGTAAGTGCTGATCACATAAGTTTTTGATGTTCGACCCTGAGGCAAATGCAAATGCTTGCTGTTAGCCCTTTCACTTGAAGGTTTTTGGCACTATGGTTGTCATATCTACTGTTTCCAATTTTTAAACCTGCTGCTCAACGTATGGTTAATTCGGTAGATTCCAGACAACGTTCCTTTAGTCTAAAATTTCTAAGCCTTTAACCTGAAATATTATGTTTTCATCAAAATCTGTTAGTCAGTGTCTCTTCATATCATCGATTTTACACATTTTTACAATTTCCTCAAAAATGGTTAATTTTCTCAAAAATAGTTAATTTTCTCAAAAATAGTTAATTTTCTCAAACTGCTGCAAGCAACTACTCCAGGTTTCCAGTTAACTAGAAAACATCAGTGACTTAAAAATTCTCTCAGCCAAGATTTGCCAGTCTCTCGATCTCAGAAGTGAGTTTTCAGCAGATCTAGTCTTCCTCTCAGAAACCTATACTTTTAGAAATATTAATATCCAACTGAATACTTAATAGTTGACCGTTATATTATAGCTGAAGAAGATGGTTCTGATTGGCGGTCATAAATAGACTAAAATAGTGGCAAAACTATTTTGTTAAAAGCCAACGTTTCGACCTGACTTTGTAGTTCTTCTTCAGGGAGGTGTGCTCAGCAAGAAGTTTTACTTAAAACTTAAATGTAACTCCTTGCTGAACACACCTCCCTGAAGAAGACCTACAAAGCCGGGTCGAAACGTTGGCTTTTAATAAAATAGTTTTGCTAATATTTTAGTCTATTTATGACCACCATCCCGGAACATCTCCTTCCTAATTAATATCCAATATACAAAGTCTTAGAAGATAATGGAAAGTGATGTAAAAAATTATGAATTATGAATTCGGAAAACTATTATTATTTAATAAAAACAAAATGTTTCCATGGAAAATTATAAAAATTGCTATTATTTGGATTTAGTAAATTATTATTATTGTTATTTAAAAATGAAAAAAAATTAATATCAAATATCATTTTCTAGAAAACAACAAAAATATTTTTTGTTTTCTAAAATTTCCAAAATTTGGTTACAACATAATTGTTACTGTCACATTTTATTATTGGAGACACTTATCTACAAACGTACTTAGTAAAACATAAGACTGCACTATACAATTTTTGTTTAGATTAACAGAAAACTTAGTAAAGATAATGGTTGCAATAATAATATTGAATATTTTGAAGTTTTCTTACAAATTTCAGTTTAACTTATGACATATTAAAATCTTACCAGTCATAATGCTTCCTAAACCCCACAATATACAAAATAATAAAAGACAAACAAGTACTTGAGTGCTTATTCCCAATTTACTTCCTTCTCCTTGATCAATCATACAAGTATACAGCCGAGTGAAACTCTGAAATTAAAATATTAACATATTGCTATAAAATTATCAAACTCTATTGTTTAGAAAAATATATGAATCACAAAATAAAATTGAAGCAAAATAATAGATCATTAAAAAAATAATTGGAGTAGGAGGAAGCTATAATTGCAATGTATCTTCAGGCTACAAATCTGTAATGATACACTTCCAAAGAATTAAAATTGTGAGTGTGGAGAACCTTGGTATTGTCCTCATCCCTTCTCACTGTATAAAGGGAGTACTCTTTAATTAATTTATTTTTATTATTATTTTTTTTTTATTATTATTAATTTAGGTAATATTATATATTAGTTTTCTTTTTTTAATATTTCTCTTTAATTTTTCAGTTCAACTAATGGAGGCTGCATTAGAACCAAAACCTCATGACATTCAGGGGAACATTTTTAAACTGAAAAGAAAATAGTCAATAAACATATAATAATGAGACGGGGCTGTAATCCAGGGAATAAAACATTTAAACATCAGCCCTTTCAATGTTTGTAGATTTGTAGGAAGGTTATAGCCCACAAGTGATTATAAAGTTTCTAAAAAACGACTTGCTTATTAAATGTATAAAAAATTTAAAAAATGCTTATTGACCGTAAGCAACAAAAAAGAATTCATGAATTTGGATATTATTAAAACAATTAAAAATATCCCAATTTTGTTTTCACTTCATAAAACTCTTAATTTTTTTATTATCCCAGAATTATTAAACTGTTGTGGGGATGATAGTGTGTGTAGAGTTCGAGAATCACAGCGTTTTTTTAAGTGAAAAAAATTGATAAAAATATTAATAATGAAATTAAGGCTACTGCTCTATTGATTTTGACTTGATTTTGAGAAAAAAGTGAACTCCCTGAGTTATTTTATATTTCCTGTCAATAAAAATTAGACCGTACGAACCCAAGTCACTACTTTGTTTCTTGTGTTATAAATATAGACACACGAGGAAATATTGTAATATTATTAATAGTCAGAAATGTTGAAATAATACACACAGTCCGGATCAATGCAACAGTGGGATTATAAAATGCCTTAATTGCCAAAATGAACATCCGGCATATAGCACTAAATGTCCTGTATATGAACGAGAAAAAAGAAGTGAAAAGATAAAAGCGAAAGAAAGACTGTCTTATAGGCAAGCTGAGCTTATTGTTAAACAAGAAGAAGCAAATACTGTAGGGGTAACAAAACTCATTCAGAAGACGTGGCGCTGCCTGTAACGGCTTAAAAAATTAGGAGTTTCCCTTCCGAAAAATAATGATAAAATTGAAAATAAAGATAACATTAGTGTTAATGAGCAAAAGTTAGTAAATGAATGCAAAAATAAACCTTTATTGGAATGACCCGGCATTTATTTTGTTACCTCCTTCTGACTGGCCTATTTAACATATTTAACCTCCATCCGTTCTACCTAAAGTAAAAACAATATCTTTGTTAGCTGCTGAAAAACCTACCGATTTGTTGATTTGCCTGGAAAAAATACTAGAGCCATTTAAAGCTGCAAAGGGTTTTAGCTTTTATTTTAAAATTTATTAAATGTTGCCAAGATAGGAAGCACGTTGTTTTGGCTGCTGGAGCCTTAACTGCTCATGATTTTAAGGATTCTTTGATGATTTGTCAGGCTCATCAGAGGAAATTTTTCACTAAATTAATTGATTGCCCTAACGGTAGCAAATCATAAACAGACTCATACCATTTTTGGATAAGGACGGAGCTCTCAGGGTGGGAGGTAGATTGAAGTATTCCACAATTGAAGAAAAAAGTAAGCACCTGCTGCTGATACCTAGAGATTCACATTTATCAGTCTTTTTGAGTGACCATTACCACCGGTATTCCTGGCATGGTGGGTCTCTGTTGGTCCAGTCGCTCATTCATCGGCAATTATGGATCCCTTCTTTGAGAAGCCTCGTTAGAAAACCAGATTTATAAATGCGTTACATGTCACAAAAATAATGCTAAGCCACAGGTCCCAAAAATGAGTGACTTGCCATCTTTCAGGGTGACTGAGGGTTGATACTTTCAGCGAGTTGGAATAGACTATGGTGGCCTCTTCATTATGAAGATTTCCAGTAAGCGCAATGCTCCTCAGTCGAAATGTTGGTTAGCTCTCTTTGTGTGCATGTCTATCAAGGCCATCCACCTAGAACTTGTGATGGAACTATCCACTCCTTCATTTATTGCCACATTAGACAGATTTATTGCCAGACGTGGTTTGCCTTCGCATATTTATAGTGACTGTGGAACAAATTTCTTTGGAGTACCCAAGAAGTTGAAGTAGCTTTATCAATTTGTTAAGGGCCAGAACGAATCCATTTATAACCATTTAAGACGGACGGGTATAAAGTGGACCTTTACACCTCCAGCATCTATTTATTTCGGTGGTATTTGGGAGGCAGCTGTTAAGAGACACCTTCTTGTCGTTCTCCAGGATCATGCGTTAACATATGAGGAATTTTATATACTGGTATCAGTTGAAGCCGTTCTCAATTCCCGCCCTATTACCTCATTACCTGGATTACCTCACCCCAGGACACTTTCTTATAGGTCAATCACTCCTAGCCAGAGCAGAATAAGAAGACGCGCCTGTGTTTCCTTTGACAAGCTGTTGAGAGATGATTTCCAAGACTCTTAGTAATTTTTGGAAGAGATGGTATGAGTAGCTCCACAATCTGGTGTCTCGCAACAGGCGGTATACTAAAAGGGAAAATTTAAAAGAGGGAATCCTTGTTATTCTACATGATAAAGATGTTCCAATGCAGGAGTGGCGGCTTGCCAGGATAATAGAGACACTTCCAGGGCCTGACAGTGTAGTTAGGGTGGTAAAATTGAGGACCAATACAGGCATTTTGGTGCGACCGGTGTACAAGTTAGTGCCTCTCCCTTCTGGAGAAACCTTTTATTGATATGTATATTTTTTCTTTGCTTAGATTTAATGAGGAGTCATTTTATTTTAAATGAACTGTAATTTATTAGTTTATCTTTCATCTGGCTCACTTTTTTTCTAATTTTCCAAAAATATATTTTGAATAATTTCTTTATTGTAAGCCAACCAATTTTCCTCTTGTTTGTGCCTTACCAGGTTTTACCAATCTATAAGTTTGGTTTTTTCTTTTCTTTGTTTGTGAATTGAGATATTTCACGGTTGGGAATATGTTTTGTGTGAGAGCAGACTAGATAATATCTAAAATATTTTTAATATAGAACAGCCATTTTCATTCGTGTTGGGGCAAGGGATATAGCATTCCAGAATTAAAAACAAATCTTTACCCGGGAAGTTTCCTTAAAGAATGAGAATTACGAGTAAAATTAAACACAGGTGTTAAAACAAAGGGAATAAAGTTAAAATGAAACCTGTAAAGCAAGGTTAAAAATCATGCACATCAAAACAAATATTAAACATAAATATTCAATTAATTAAAGATGGAAAATAAAATAAACAATCCTCTTCTAAATGTTTTCAATATTATATTGAATAAAAAAGGAAATATAGATATATACAAAAGTTAAAAGAAACAAAATGGAACAAGAGATAAAAAAGAGAAGAAAGATAAAAATATATGTGGCATTAACAATACGAGTGTTTGATATTCATCATATTGGATATCTTGGCAAAGTTATTAAGAACTTCCATTTAATGACCATTTATTTCAACCACATTTCTACTCTTAATTTATAATACTAAATACGCATTTGATGCAGAATTTAATGCTATTTAATTCTTAAAACAAGCCATAACTTGATCTTGTGTTGAGGGATAGTGCAAAACTAGTATAACATTTACGGATGTCTAATAAAGAAAACAATATGATCTCTTGCTTTTCAATGTTTACTGTTACTAATTATCCCCAAATGATTTCATTCTACTGGCCCAATTACAATTTTAACGATAACAAGTTTAGGAACAAGCAGACAATGAACTATCATGGGTGATAAATATTCAGGACAGTCTTTAAAAATTTTTTTTTTATTTTATACTTACATAAAATAAATGAAGTTCTGAGGTATCAGTAAATAATTTTGCTTTGTGAAAAATAAATTCAAATACTGGTGGTACTATCCAATTTATAAGTTCAAAAATGAGTTCAAATTGTTCTGGAAATATTTTGGTTGATAATATATTCCCATATGACGTCAAAATCGGATGCCACCCAAGCATTTTAGGTTCAAGATATATCATCCCACAACGGGACACTGTAGCAGGAGAAGCTTGATCAAGATCAGCTGGTTCAAAAATTAGATTCATTTTATCAGTCATCTGTAAAAAAAGCAAATATGTTTTCTTGTACTTTCAAAAAAATATGAACATAATATAATAACCTGCATGTATATAAATAATTTCCTCTTCAAAATGAGAAGTTAAGTAATTTAAAAAATAAAAAGAAATTTTACAATTTCTTAACAACAAATATTATTTGTGGTGTCAATTTTGAATCATTAAAACAATCAATAATGGTAAAATTTTAGAGATACTAGTTTACCTGCAATAAAAGTGCTAGCAATATAAGAATGAAGAGTCATGTCTTCCTCAGCTATTTGGTCCTCAGTGCCTCATAGATGGTACAGCTAATATAGTATGCTTGGCTGTCCCCGGTACTCTGATATTTACTTTGAAAACTCTAATGCCCCATGAAGAACTGATAGAACCAGTAGTCTGGGGGGACCCGAATCTCGGGAGGAATCATGTTGTTTCTGAGGACAAATTATTTGTGAATCTCGAACTGACAATGGGAAAATATGTCTTTAGAGTAGCTACTTTTGGCTTAGGCATAGGGAGTTGGCGGTTGCCAGTTGGTGACAGGATGGGACCCTGATGCATGGACTGGAGTTACTCCTCTGAGGCCAATGTGAACTCTCGAGCGATATGCTCTTCTACAGGGCGGAGGAGAATGGGACTGGGACAGCATACCTACTCCACCATAGATTTAACACACTACACAAATTTAATATACACCAATGGAAAGCCAAGAAGAACAGCCTCACGTGCCAGCTGCAATGGAAGTAGAGGCAAGGCAGTCCCCACATACTGCAAAAGTGTATTTGTGACTTGTTCTAAAGGGACACTAGTCCCAAAATAATAAAATTATTTTCATTAATTCATTCATTCACAAGACTTACTAGATACAGAAGAAGGTAGCAGGCAGGAAGTTAAACCCAGACAGGAGATGGTGGTATAGCCATAATAGCTCCCATTTAGCTCCACAAGCCAAAGGATGGAATCTGATGAGTCCACTCTACTTATGTCTACTTCATCGACCAAGACAGAAAAGGGGAGAATACAAAGTCAGTCCTCTCCAGGTAGTGTTTCAAAAGAAGAGGCCGAAAAAAATAAAAAAGGCCAAATTGAAGAAGCTGTACTGCAAAAAGAAAAGGCGGGCGGACGCAATCAAAAGGCAAGCCGAACGGGAGGCCATTAGAGAGAGATGTTAAACGCCTATCACTGACCCGGCTTCCCTTAAGCAGCCTCATTCATCAGGGAGTACCATGGGTTGTTCGCCTCTTGTTAGACAAGAGAGGAACTTCCACAGAACTCTCTTAGAGTCGATACGGGATGAGTGAGCCGAGGCTTGTTCTCCTAGCACCCCTTCTCAGGCAAGAAAGGTACGGGCGTCCTCTTCAAGGGGCCAACTCCTCCATAAAGCGTTCAAAAAGACAATGGCCGGTAAAGGAGCCCCCACCAATGGATAACGGACCATCAACAGATTCTCGCCGGTAAAGCAAGAAAAGGTCGAAGCAATCACCTAGAAAGGCCGACTTTGTCGTTGGACCTTCCTCACAGCAAGGCACTCAGTCGGATCAGGGGAATACTCGATCCTACAGGGACACTGCAGCTAGGAGGGCATTGCAAGTGGTTATAATGGTGAGTCAGAAGGGTGGGCCTATCTCAAAGGTCACCTTTGGGTTAGCTAAACCTTTTTTTTTTTTTTTTTTTTGCATCCTTTGATATATAAAACATTATAATATTAAATTTAATATTATAAAAAATATATAATCATTAATCCTCGCGCGGGCTCATTACCGCGTATGGGGAGCGTCCCACGGGTGGCGGATGTGGGGATGGTTGGTGGAAATTCCTTGGAAGTTCCTCCCGGCTAAGTCCGATGGACTCGCTGACCAACAATGAGAGGGGCCCTCCAGACTTGCTGGAGGGAGGGGACCTCCAGACTTGCTGGAGGTAGGGGCCCACCAGACTTGCTGGAGGGTGTGACGTAGGATTGAACGCCTTACTCACATATCTTTAGTTCACCAAACACCACAAAAAGTCATGGATCTCCCTAAGGTAAAACGCTCATTATCCGGAGGTAAACTAGTCCCCCGTTCGGGTCTCCGGGTGGGGACTGCTTTAGGGGATTCATGGCGCAAGTTGAAATATAGGGATTTAAATTTTGGTACGTGGAACGTAAGGAGTTTAAACACAGCAGGGGGACTAAAATCGGTCACGAATGAGGTAAATGGGTACAATTTGGATGTCGTGGCTCTGCAAGAGCTTCGCTGGCCAGGGGAGGGCTCGATGAGGCAAGGAAAGTACACTATTTGGTACGGAGGAAGCGGGAATCATTGTTTAGGTACCGGGTTTCTAATTAGGAGTAGATTACTATCCGCTTTGAGAGACATACAATTCTTTAGTGATAGAATTTCGGTAGCTACATTTCAGGGACGTTGGTTTAAAATCGCATTAATAAACATACATTGTCTGACCGAAGACAGTGACGATGAAGTCAAAAGTGAATTTTACGATAAACTCGAATGGGTTTATGATAAACTACCGCGAAACTACATGAAAATGATTGTAGGTGACTCGAACGCAAAGGTAGGAAGGGAAGAAGTTTATATTCCGACGACTGGTAAAGAAAGTTTGCACGAATATAGTAATGATAATGGGATCCGTCTGATAAACTTTGCCATCTCGAAAAACCTGATAATTAAAAGTACGACGTTTAAACATAAGGATATTCATAAATATACTTGGACATCACCGAATTCGCAAACACGAAATCAAATCGATCATGTCTTGATACAACAAAGCTGGCAAAGCAGTATAATCAATGTACGGTCTTATCACCGAGCAGAATGTGGGTCGGATCATGAATTAGTAATCGCGAAACTTCGACAAAAACTTAATATAAAAAAGAGAAAAGAAAACCGTTTCGATTTTGAGAATTTTAATTTGGAAAAATTAAAAAATCCATCAATTAGAAACCAATTCGAGCTAGATGTTAAGAATAGGTTTGAAGCTTTAGAGCTTCCTGACGAGGACCACGAGGATATTGACAAGTTATGGGTAGAGATCAGGGATAATATTAAAGTGGTCGGTAACTCGTGTCTAGGAAAAAAGGAAAATAAGAATAACAAACCGTGGTTTGATGAAGATTGCTTAAACATGTGCGAAAAAAGAAAAGCCGCTAAATTAAAAGCTCTAAATAATCCTAGCGAAGACAATCTGGAATACTTCCGAATCTCAAAGAACGAAACGACAAAATTGCTCAAAAATAAAAAAATGGAGTATCTTAAAAATAAAATAATTGAAATAGAAACTAATAGAATCGAAAATAACGTAAGAGACATGTACAAAGGTATAAACGGATCACGTAAATATGTAGGGCCCGTAACGTCTGGAATTAGGGATGATAATAACAATATTCTGACCGATCCGGTTGACATATTGAATAAGTTTAAGGACCACTTTGACAATATTTTAAATACGGGAAATTATGATCTGTGTCCTCCTTCTGAGTACCAGAGTGCTGAACCGTTAATAGAAGGACCAAGTAAAGAGGAAGTTGAAGTAGCTATCGGAAAATTAAAATCATATAAAGCTGCGGGAATCGATAATATTCCTACTGAACTAATTAAGGCATGCGGGGAAGCTGGAGTTTCTAAAATACATTGGTTGGTTAAAAAGATCTGGGTGAACGAGAAATTACCTGAAGAATGGAAAGAATCTATTCTTATTCCGATTCACAAAAAGGGTCCGAGGACGGATTGTAATAACTATCGAGGAATTTCACTCCTTCCGGTATGTTATAAAATATTCACTTTAATCTTAACCAGTCGAATCACGGAATACGCCGAGGAAATTATCGGAGACTACCAATGCGGATTTAGACGGAATCGTTCGACTATTGATCAAATATTTTCTTTACGGCAAATATTAGAGAAAAAATTGGAGTACAACGGTATTGTTCACCAGCTGTATATAGATTTTAAAAAGGCTTACGATTCTATTGACCGCCAGAAACTGTATAATATTCTAATCGAGCAGGGGATTCCAAAAAAACTAGTAAATCTAGTCAGGATGTGCTTGACGGAGACACTCAATAAAGTTAGAATCGGTAATAATCTGTCCGAAAAATTTGAAGTTCGTTCGGGTTTAAAACAGGGGGATTCTCTTTCGCCTGTCCTCTTCAATTTGGCATTAGAACATGCCATTAGGGAGGTAATGCGAACCAGGAAAGGGTTGTATCTGGGTGGGACAACATCCGTGCTGGGCTATGCTGATGATCTGGTACTGTTAAGCGAAGACGTTGAAACTATAAAACTAAATACGACAACGTTAATGAAAGCCGGTAAAGAACTAGGACTCGAAATAAACGTGGATAAAACAAAATATATGATTAGCTGCAAAAATGGCGATACTACTGGTGATATCTATATAGATGGTAATATGTTTGAACAGGTAGATAAATTTAGGTATCTAGGTTCTACGATAACTAGAAGAAACGAAATTGAAGAAGAGATTAAGGTTAGACTGAAGGCAGGAAATGCTTGTTATTTTTCTGTGACAAAACTACTTAGTTCGCGCCTCTTGTCCCGGAACTTAAAAATTAGAATCTATAAAACAAATATCTTGCCTACAGTTCTTTATGGATGCGAAACTTGACCGCTTACATTAAGGGATAAGCAGTGTCTTAAGGTTTTTGAAAATAAAGTATTGCGTAGAATATTCGGACCGAAGAAGGATGAGTTAACCGGAGAGTTCAGACGGTTACACAACGCAGAATTGCGTGAGCTGTATCCGGGTAATATAATTGAGGTAATTTCATCGCGGCAAATCAAATGGGCTTGTAAAGTTGTTGGGCTTAGTAACGAGAGAATTCCTAAAAGGTTAATATTTGCTGCGCCGAATGGTAAGCGTCCGAGGGGTAGACCGAAGCGAAGGTGGGAAGATTGCATTAAATTATGATCTGTGTCCTCCTTCTGAGTACCAGAGTGCTGAATCGTTAATAGAAGGATCAAGTAAAGAGGAAGTTGAAGAAG